TGTGACTGTGTCTGTTCTCACAGTTTGTAGTTCTTCTGCCACGTTATATGTACCTTTTTTTTATATTGCAGTATCAACATACAGTATATATTAGGATATGCTATGGTATTTGACTCTTTGGCATATTTGCTTTATGAGCATCACCTGCTTTTCTTTTCTTCCTTGACAAAAGACGGTCCATCTTATTTTCTTCTTTATATTATCATGTCAGAATAAATCTTGCTGACCTGAATCCTTCCAGTCTTGCCAGCACCTTAGTACTTAATTGTTTTCTGTTCCTGAAAGAATCAGATTTATTCAACTTTATTTGCTTGAGTGTTAATGCACATGAACTGCACGTGAATTGGAAAATTTGTAAATGTTTTCTCCGACTGGCCAGTGAGGCGACTTGTAGCATCGGTATCTCTCCTGTGAGTTCAGGCAGGTGTGCCTCCTCATTTGCACAGTAAAACAACAAAACCAGAGCGTAAATCAACATGCAAATTTATGATAAAGCAGGTCAAGCTTTTTCAGGTTTTCTCGTGCACAGTGCTGCTCAGGACACACAAATAAAACCAAGTGAAGTAAAAGGGTTTTTATTTCAGGGAAGGTGTTGCCCTAACCAATCATTTAGACATTTGTTTGCTCTCAGAAGGACTCGTGTAAATTAATCCGTCTTTAATGGAGGTTTCTGTGTACACTGGACTTCAATAGCTCCAGATAACTTATTCAAAAACTGACAGCACCTGTTCAGTTAAGTGTGTACTTGAATGGGACTGCACTATTTGCTCAGTTAGTGAACACTTGACCATTTAAAATACAAGAAGCCCAAACCTCAAACTGAAACACAGGATTGCACTTGATACTGAAACCAGGTGTTTTACAGACAAAACACAGTCAGACGGCTAATCGGCAATGACAAAGTGAAGGAGGGAAGGTCACAGTGGCTCTGTAGTGTCAAAGGCTTTGGCCTATTTTCTCACAGAAGCTAGCTATTAGTCTGTGGCTGTGTGATCTGTGATTAAAGAGCAAGCCTCTGGTTTGAGCTCTTTGGAAAGAGCCACAGGCTTTTAGGACTCATGCCCTGTCCTTATTGATAATTGCCACAAGTGAGACACACACACACACACACGCACACACACGCTTGCTCGAAATGCCAAGGTTTAATCCAGAGCCTAGAGCTGAATGAAAGAAAATAAAGAGTGTAACAACAAGTGGAGCCTACAGGTGTCATAAATCAGCACTGTCTGTCTGCTATGATAAGAGGAGTAGATACATGGTGACGCTGGCCAATCATTCCACTGTCTTGTCTGGTTCAGACTGATACTGGCTTGAACTTAAAATTGTAAATAATGCTCATGTCGGTGCCATGTTTGGTCAGACTATACCATTCTCAGATTCCTTTAAGTATAATCTGTCTATTCTATTCTGCAGAGCAGCTGGTTTCAGTTTTTTAAGGGCTGAGTATGAATGGTCATTGTCTACTGATGATAAGGTTTGGGTGGGTGTGTTCTCGCTGATTAAAAATGATCCCAGCAGATTGTTGTGTTAAACTCCTGCCTTTGATGAGCCATGTATGTGTTTACCAGGTTGTGGGTCCTGCCTCTTATCTCAGAGACAGTGTGTGACCATTGGACTTTGTTGCGTGTTTCGTGGAAGATGTGTTTGTAGCCAGCTTTGTCACTATTGTATACATGGGTGTGTGTGTGTGTGTGGATGTGTGCATCTCCTGTAAGTACTTTTACTACAATTTTGAGCCTATTTGTTGTGTTTTCCTTTTCCACTTTTCATGCTACATTATAGTTTTTCTCCACTAGTGTACTTTTTACTCCACTATATTTATTTATTTATTTATTTATTTGTCTGCTGTCACCGGTCACTTTGCATATTATGGTTTTACATAGGAAACATTTGATCATCTTCTAGAATATAATGCAGCTATACATAAAAGTACTCAACAGTGTATGAAGTTGGGAACATTTGCTTTACCTCAACACCGCTTCAACATTAAACTGCTGCTGATATATTAATTAATCAGTGGTAATCATATATAATATATACACCATTGTAAAAGATGTCATTCACCATAATAATTATTGTTATGGTGATTATATGTACTTTAAGCCCCTAAAAACCTTTTTTCTTAGATTCAGTAAAACCAAAATCTGAGTGAACCACACCCTCTCAGTCCTGATGAAGCAGATTTGGTTCTTTTACTTAATAAATCAGAAGTAAAGTTCGAACTTCAACTTTGAATGTTGATATTTTAGTCACAAATATTCAACATTCAACTCTTGTTAAATCTGTTTATTCAGCTTTTATCCGTACACTGTGATCCAGTGAGAGCAGTTTACTCCTTTGCATGGACACCCTGTGTGCACGGGACAGTAAAAGCAAAGGCAAAAATCCAACAGTTGTATATTAAACTCACAAGAGTGCAAATAAAGCATATTGACAAAATTAAGGAAGGACATTAAACTAGCATTAAACAAATCCAGAGATTAAACAATATAGGATAAATCCGTCATTAAATAACTCTGAACACAACCACATGGATAAAAGAAACCAAGTTAATGTTAAAGACCTACACCTCACCAAGATTTAATCATTGCATTACAGGAATAGTGCTTACAACTGGCGTGCAGGCATGCACGTTTCTGCAATAACAACGATTGATCAGCCCCCTGGCTACACCCCTGTTTGACCATGTGAAGGCCAGCTGTCAGTGGCCAGCTTTTTTCACCCCGTCCTCATATCGACCTGATAGCCTAGCCTAGCCTGGCGCTGATGTGTCATTACGTAATGTTTGAGTTTGACTCGGAGCGATGACCACCGTTGTACAGCAGCAGCCATGTGAACGGTTGAGTTCATTTTTAGCAGCTGGCTGTTTGCCAAACAATCCAGCCAATCTAATTGTGTGTGCAGGTTGCACCTTTATGCTTTTAAGTTGAAGGTGCTTGGGTTGAGGAGTGTCGGATTGAACTTCACAGAGGACAGATGGTTTGAGAGGGACTGCCAGAGATTATTACATTAAGTAGAAATATTAGTTTGGTGTCTTTGTAGTGGAGAACATCTGGCCTACATTCTTGTTTTTTGCAGCTCAAGAATGAATGAATTGATACAAAAAGCTAACACAGCTAATAGTCAGGTATGCAAAGGAAAGTCCCTTTTTGCTTTGAAAATGTGTCCCAACTGTAGCCTCTTTCAAATTAAAAGTCTGTGTATTTCTTGAGCATCTCTCCCTTGGAGAGGTCACAGGGGAGAGACATGGATCAGATATAGCAAAAGTCCCTGAGTGGACTCAGCAGCAGGGATGTTGTGCTTGTCTATTAAACTTTTAAAGGGGCATTTCCGTAATTTCCATTTACTCTTCATGAGGAGTGCTACCCAGCCAGTAGAAGCATTTTTATAATGTCTCCTGTGGATCGATACGATAGGAGTTTAGAAAATCAGGCGAGGAGAGTCTAACAACAAACAAACTAAAGATGCAAATGAGTTGCATGATGGGAAATGTGTAATCCAGTGTTTCTATACTACAAGTCAAAATATCTAAGCCTCTGCTGCTTTGATTGTGATCAGTCCTTCTTGCATGGCTGTGCTTATAATTATAGAGCTAAAATGATGATGAAATATCTTTAGTAAATGAAACATCTTTGGGTTTTCGATTGAAAATCCAAAATCAAAAGCAGCCTGTATATGTCAGTGTAGTGTCACTTACTTTTTAACATTTCATAAACTAAAGAATTAATCAAGGACATAATTGGCAGAATAGTCGATAATGAAAATAATAATAAAAATACATTTTTCAGCTTTTTGGAAGTACCCGTTTTAACACCTAGGCCATAGTGATGCCACTTTCCTCTACTTTCGATTAATTTATTCCACTGCTGTGATTTTATTTTCTTTATTAAAATTTTAGCAGAGCACCAGCACTATGTGTATTTTTTTTTTTTTACTGTTTTGTTCATTCTTTTTGCATTTAAAAGCTGTTCAAAAGTATTTCTTTGGCTTATTGAAAAATCTTTGAATTTAAAAGGGACCAAATCAATAAACTTTGTAATGGATGTAGGGCAGCAACTAACAATTATTTTCCTTATAGTTAATCAATGAAATGTCAACAAGTAGTGAAAAACACCCATTCAAACTTCCCACAGCTCAATGTAACTTCTTGATTTGTCCAAAACTAAACTTTGATATATGACAAAGGAAAGCAGCAAATTCTCACATTTGAGAAGCTAACCCCTGCAAGATTTTAGCATTTTTGCTGAGACAATAAATTAATGATCAGTTGCTGATTGCATGAATTGACTAATTCTTCCGTCAGTCTTTCTAGGAAAACTGTACATTAATTAGCTGCAAATTTAGTAAGAAAAAGACACATCTGATGAGCGTCTGCACTTTTCCTTCCCTCCTCCTTCCCCTCAAAGATGGAGTGAGACATCCTGATTGAGCAAACTGGAGGAGTGACGAGAGGGAGCGGCACTCAAGGAAAGAGAGGGAGTGTGATTACCTGCTCTCTCTGCCTCCCTCCCTCCCTCCCTCTCTCTCTCTCTCTCTCTCTCTCTCTCTCTCTCTCTCTCTCTCTCTCCTTGTAGTCACCTCCCCTCTCCGGGAGTGTACGCACTCCTGCGTTCTCCCCCTGCTTGTTCACACACGCTCTGGCCTTCATGCTGCACACACACACCCACCGTCTCCTCTGACTGTCTGTCTGTCTGTCTGTGTGCACGTCAAAGAAGAAGCTCGGTCAGGACTCTTCTTAGACGGGACATTAAGATTTTGGACAGGTTGCTTGTGTGTGTGTGTGTGTGTGTATGTCTGTGTGTGCTTGTGTGTGTGTATGTGTTAGTGTGCATGTGTTTGTGCGTAGCTGACAAACAGAAGCTCCATGTGCTTGAGATAAAGCAAGAAGAGTGACTTTTTTTTTTTTTTTTTTTTTTGGGGTTTTTTTAAGGGATTTTTCATTCTTTCGGTTGCCATTCAGACACAGAGACCTAACTTTTTCTCAAGGACCTGCTGCTCCTCCTTGTGCCAGTGACGACTCACTCGACAGGGTGAGTGCTGCTGAACTCCCAGTCCTCTCTCACACCCCTCGCACTCCCTCTTGCTCAATTGCTCACACTCTTTCTTTTTTCGTTCTTTTCTGAGATGTCTCTCTGTTGATTTTCTTTTCTGTCTCTGCAATTTGACAATCTGTTATCGATCTTTTACTCTTTAGTGTGTGTGTGTGTGTGTGTGTGAGTGAGTGAGAGAGAGAGAGAGAGATAGAAAAAGAGAGAGCTCACTTTTTAGCCTGGGGATTCAAACTCAGGAGTATGTGTGCAGGAGACAGGCTTGAACAAGATGAAACAGAAATCTTCCCTCAAACCAGCCCTTTGCCTGAATCCATGCATATTTGGAAAAACTATTTTTAAAAAACTTTCCCTGCACAGCACAGATTTATTTTAATTATCCTATTACCCCAAACTTGGACACGTAGCCACTCATTCGCCGACATAAGCGTGGAAGTATTTTCTTTTTTTTTTGCTGACGACAAAAAAAAAAAGTCAATATGAAACTGAAGTTGTTCCACAACAGTGAAAATGACATCATCATCCACCGTCCCAGTCAAGTCATCTCTACCCACAGATGGTTATTTATGGTGGCGTCCACCCTTGAAAACACTAAATTCGCATTCACTGAAATATGTGCCTTGTGGTTTGAATGGCAGTCTGTTTGAGGTCTTTTCATTAAGCTTGGTATCCTGTTTCTCACGTCAAAGGATTATGGATCTGTGAGCTGTGGGTTTTGGTCCAAACTGTGGAAGTGTAGTCAGGGCCGGGGTATCGAAGCTCAGCGCTTTTAGAGTGCTGATCGAAATGTGCTCGATTGGCTTCTCAGGCTGGTTTACTTATTCTTTGATCATATTTTTCCTTTTTTAAATCAATTTTTCTAACTTAATCATACTCAGGCAAAATTCTTTATTTAAGACAGATGCATTCAGTAGCCTGGCATATAAAAGAGGGGATAAAACATGTTTATACCGCCCAAGAGAAAGTATTAAGAAATGTAGTTTTTGTTATTTGGTACCAAAACCTGGGTTTCATATTTGTACCAAAACAATACACACCTTACTTTCTGCTTATGTATTGGTTGTCCTGTGTCCATTTACAGTAAGAATCTCTGTGTGTAAGTGCATCCATGACTTGTGTTGTATTGTCTTGCACTTTATCTTTGCATTTTCCTCATAGGCTAATGGACTCACAGCAGAAACTGTCCACTCTCCTTGGTGTGTAAATGATGGAAAACTCCCAATGGAAACCAATGAGTTAATGGGATACCTGCTCGCCCTGTAGCCTTAAAGTGGCAATCTCAAAGCTTTCAGGTTTCCTGGTTGATTTTGTGGCACCTGTAGTTTCAGGTGGTAACAGCGAATGCAGTTCAGTACTGCAGGTCAGAGAATTCTGGGGGCAGCAAAACAAGCTGTTGACATTTTACTAAAGAGGTCAGGCAGTAATTGGACTTTTCCCATCAATCTGTGAGCAACCGTATTCTGATTTTATGCTGCCAGGTACTGAGTCACAGTACCTGGGTGAGACGTTGGAGGTGTGCAGCCTGTCACCTGCAGCTCTCCATCTAACAACTCACACTGGTTCCATTACTCCCTGCAATATTTCAAACTGATCCGCTGTCAGAAATTGCTGAAAATTACCGTTGTCTTGTTTTGTAGATGCATTTTTGGTATTTTTTGGCATTTCGGTGAGTGCTAAGCTCACTGATAAACACGTTGCATTTTCTGTAACTATACTTCATACGTCAACTTGTGGTGCGTCAATTAAAAGCTTTCAATGTGAAGCTGCAGCAATAGAAAATGTTTGGTTTGCATTAGCAGATACTTAATACAGCATTTTTTCTGGGATGTCGCCACAGACACCCAGTTTATAAAACTGCAAATATATAAATATTGAAAAACTTTAATCAGCGGGCCATAGACTCAGTCACCATTGTGTTACCTCATTCAGTGATAGATAGTGACTTAACAGAAATTTATGAAAATCTTCAATACATGGCTGAGATGAGTTTTGTCTTAGTCGTCTTTGAACCTACTTAGGACAATCACCATCAACAGATAATTCCAGTTTATTACAACTTAGGTATCATTCATTTTTCTCTTCGTTTCTATTGGTGATAATAACAGTGTACTACAAACAGACCTTCAGACAGGTTGTAAATAAACCGACTGGTTAACCAAACTTGCTAGAAAATAAAAAAAGGAAAGCAACTTGTTGGTTGTAAATGTCCACCACAGTCAACAGACCAACTTCCTGGTTCGACTTTGACTTGTGCATACACACAGTTTTCCTCTGCAACCAGGGATTATTACATTTCACGTGTGCCCAAGTTTTACTTCCAGATAAAGTGGTTCAGAATCTGTTGGCTTGTTTGTAGCGAACTCACTGTCTCCCCAGATCTCAGAACAACATTGTCATAACAGATAGAAACATTGGCCAAAACCATGAAAATTAGAGTAATTTAAGTTTCAGCTACTTATTCATATCTATTTTTAATAGATTTAGAAAACAATTTTCACAGTACTGTATAATTAAGTTATTGTTCTTGTTTTCTAGTTTTTTTTGTACAAAAATGTGGAATAAGGATTCAAAGAAAACCTAATGAATTACATTTTGACAATACATAATGTAAATCCCACAATGAAGTTGACATGGATTTTTTTCATCCATGAGTTGATTGGCTTCATTCAAATGATCCACACCCTGCCCAGCAGTCTCCTGTGTATGTTAATCATTAATGCACTTTTGTCTGTTCATGATTTCATACACCTGTAAAACACCCACTAGGAATAAAGGACAATCGTGAGCTAATCTGAAAATCTGAATGTACAAATGTGACGTGGATGAAATGACTAAAGTGGGGAAGAGAATGTGAACATGTTTGCACTTTGCCGCTGATGCACTGGCGTAGTTTTGACAAAAGAGAAACTAAGATGTGTTTTTATGTTTGCGTGAATTTGTGCATGACAGCATGGATGTCTGCACAAACACACCTTCCCACAGATGGTGTAACTAAGTTCAGTTTTCTTTGCAGCACCATAGAAAATGTGCATCCATAGTTTGTTCTTCAGCAGTCATTCACAGCTTATGTATATGATGCATGTATGCACAAAGCTGAAAGATTCTCCAGATAAACACAGTGACTCAAACACACACATCCATATCCTGTCTTTATCCTTTCATACTTATTCACATGTGCACATATAGCAATGTAGCTGCTATTGGATTACCAGTGAGGCTGTTATCCTATTACAAGACAGAGGTTGCTAGCTGTCATCTGTGTATGATATCAGACAGTCTAAACCAAAGGAAGTGTGTCTCACTCACTCAAACACACACAATGAATATGTGAACACACATACTGCCTCAGCGTATCTTAACACCTGTACATTCCTTGTCTTGAATTTCACTGTGAGCGTTTACAAAATATTACATCCACAGATTGAGAGAGCAGGGCCGGTGCGCGCCTTAGATAGAGGATTAGGCTCGGTGTCACAAGGTCAATATTTTTAGGATAAGAAAGGGCCAGGAGTCCTTGCAGACAAATGGTTGCAGGTATTGATAGTACATTGATGGGAGTGTTTGGATTAGCAGACTTCTGCTTCTTTCTTTCATAGCTTTAGGCCCTGTGCTGCTTGAGTAACCGATATCTTGACACCAGTAAGTAAACTTTGAACTCCCCCTCCTACAGCAGAGAGCCTTGGCGAGCCAAAGAGAGGAGTGGCTGCTAGTGTGCATGTTTATGAGTTATGAGGTGCTTAAAAGACAGCCTGTAGGTGAGGGATAGGTGAATGCTATGCACATATACAGACCCACACAAGAACTCTGGCTGAGCAAACCAGATGTACAATATATCTCTTTTTTTAAAAATCATATCTGTGTTTTCAGTTTAGTTTTATGACTGTTTTTACAGCCCTTTTGCCGCTGTGACTCACTGGTCATGGACTTAAATAAATTTCCCTCTGACAAAATGGACTGCATCATAAAGCCTGTCAAAGATAGTTCTTGTGAATAAAATTGTTTTTTCCTGCTGTCAGTGAACGTGCCTGACAGTCTTTTGATCAGCAAGAAGCCGGTGTAAAAATAACTAGAATAGTGTTTTCATCATCAGTTCTGCGAGGTGCAGAGAGAGACTCCGCCCACCATGCAGCCCGCTGTGTGTACCTGCTGTAACACACAGCTGAGAGGAAGCTGCCACTGGCCTGATTACAACCTGATTTAGATGTGACAAGATGTCTTAGCTTCTTGCCCTGGAAGCTTCTCTCTCTGGCCTTGTAAGCCTCAGCAGAACATGAATGCTGATTTATATCAACCCAGATGTGCTCCAGTTTGTAAGTGCATGGTGCTTACTGAGCGCTGCATTCACTCCTTTGTCAAAAATATACACCCACTTGCTGAAGCATTCAAATTGTCAAATGTTGAAATAGAAAGTATGGAACAGTTCATGTCTGTCACGTAGTTGATTCCTCTCACGCCCTCATGGGTGTCGGCCTATATTCTAGTTCCTATAAGGAAGTTCACCTTAAATATTTGTGAAAGAAATTCCACCTGCTCTGCTCTACCATAACAAAACAAAGACAAAGGGTGATAATGATCAGTAACATATGTTGGAGACTTTGCATTGCAACACAGAGAGAAATTAGAGTTTACATAATTGGAATAACTTAACGACTATAAGAACCACTAAAGGTTCTTATAGTATATTTAAGGAAGTCCAAAGTATACATAAAAATGTGGGTTAGACCTGAAATAATTAGTTCATTCATTGATAATTTGAATAACACAAAATTAAAGTTATTTTCTTGATAATCAGTTCATCAATTAGTCATTTTTAGCCATGCTAACAATGGAGCTAAAATTGCTGATCTATAGGTCACTTGATCCACCACTTCAGTTCACACTAAAAAAAACAAACTTTCAGACATTCATGGTCCCCAGAGGATGAATCGTAGAGACTTGTGTGATCCCATTTTTTTCTCTAGCAACACCATGACATTAATATTTGTGGTTTTGAGTGAAATTTCTCAACAACTATTGGATGGATTGCCATGATGCCATTTGGTTCATACATTGATGTTACCTTAAGGATGAATCCCTAAATTTTCATCCAGCGCCATCATCAGGTCAATATTTGAATTTGATAAACACGTTGGTTTATGACCCGCTGTGCTTTATTAATGTCAACTGTTAGCACTGTTAACATGCTAGTATAAACATTATACTTGCTGTACATCACCATGTTAGTTTTTGTCAGTGTAAACATTTTGCCTTATTATTGCCATATTGCTTTAGCATTTAGCTCAAAGTCCAGTCTCACAGAGCTGCAAAGGTAACAAGGCCCTATTATTTAAATTTTATACAATTCTTTTGTCAATGTTTAGTTTATTGAAGCAGGGCAAAATGTGCAACAAATTCTGAGAGGTTAACACTGTGAACGTTACAAGTTGAACTTCACAGATGATCATATGGATATGGCGGATTGTGTTTTAGAGGCACTCAGACTCTGAAACACCTGAGAAGTTTAATGAAGCTCTTTGTCAGGTGGAGAAACATTCCTGCGTGACGATATTAAGCTCTCAATGATGGCCCGGGGGTAGAAGGTGAGAGGTGGAAGAGAAAGCTTAGACATGGAGAGTCATGATCTCTACCCGTCCTTTTCTGTTACTCTGGGATTCTCCTTTTTCCTTCTCCCCCTCAGTTTCCCTGCTCAGCCTCTTTCCAGGCAGCACTGCTGCAGCCACACCTGCATCATGCTAACCAAATACTGTTATTTTTACTTCACTCACTGTGACGTCACACTTGGTTGTATTTATTTAGCCATCATGAATCACCAGTGAGCAGTCCACATAAATCAGCAGAATGATGTCATAGTTTTTAGGGGCAGGATTGTTTTCAGGTGATGTGTGATTTCTAAGAAAACAGATACTTGTGATTAATTTTTACCACCTCTTGTTGTGTTGTCCCCCGCCGCCTCTTTGCTCTCTCTGCGTCTGCTTTGAGTTGTTGTTTGGCTCCATTTTTTTTGCATTAACATCTTGTCCATCAACCTCCTCCACCCCTAATTCATAAGTAATGACCATGCAGCAGGCAGGCAGGGAGCCAGGCAGAGTAGCAGAGCAGACATGCTGGCTGGCCGGGCCTTGTCCCTGTGGACCAGAGCCACTTACTGTATCTCTCACAATAATGACATATGCATTGACTGGCTTAAGGAAAGTGGCTAAAAAGAGACTCAATGTTTGTGAAGTTTCATTGGTGTTCCTCTCTTTATTCATTAAGGGTAATACACTTGATTGGGGGACTTGATTAATAGTCTTAAAAACAACAACAAACAACAATTTCATACAAAAATTGTGGCCAAGAAATATTAATCAAGGAAAAACCCTGATAACTCACATCAATACTGGCATTATTAGATAAGCCATCTGGTTGTAACACAAAACATAATTAAAGTCTGACTATAAATATTGTCATATACAACACATAAACAAATGATCTAACATAAAGAAAGAGGAAACAGTAACTCAATAACTAACCTGATCTCATACATCCTATACATCCTTAAACCATAAACAAGGTTTCACACTTATCTGCGGTGATTGTTTTCATGCCAGGTCTAAGCATATTCCCCTTTACAGCAACAATATTTAGGAAAATGTTTTCCCAACCAAACAAATTGATTCAATTATCCCCACATAACAAGTCTTTTAGATCTGTAAATAAAACAGAAACATATTTACACTAGTGAAGTTTCAGGAAATATTGTCACAATCTCCCCTTTCTGAATTACAGCACTGAGTAAAGTAAACAATAAACTGTTTGGATATAAAGTGTCATCACTTCCTCATTTTACCCTATTAGATATTTGTGTTGAATTAAGTCATAATTCATGTATGAACCCATGATTTGACCTATAACTTTGACCTATAACCACCAAATCTGTTCAGTTTTTTCAAATTCAGTTCCTCCTTGAGGTCAAGTTCATTTTTCTGCGAAACTGGAAGAAATTCCCCAAAGGCATTCCTAAGATACCACGTTCATGAGAATGGGACGTATGGACAGACAACCCAAAAACATAAATAGTTGAAATCAAAGCCTTTGAGGTTGTTTTAGTCTGGCTCACTAGCATGGTAAATTTAATATATTCAAAATGACTTATTTGACTGTAGATTTGAGGATGCAGCACAAGCCGGTGTCTAATTTATTTTTAGATATGCAAATCTTAATTCCTGGAAGCTTTGAAGTGGCAATATAAAGAGAAAGTCATTGTAATAATGACACTAGATCCTGACACTGTCCCTGTTGTTCTGTAGTTCTGTTGTTCTTAGATGCTCACCAGACACATGTTGACATATTACACCACCTGTCATAAATATTGCTTATTCAATGATTTTTCCATTACATTGTGCATTTAAATCTATTACACTGACTAAGTCTTTTTGCTCTAGATGAAAATCATACAGTTTTTTTCCAAATGAAGTGATAAGTTATCTACCAGCAACTGCTGGACGTTCAAAAACTCAGTGATTGTTTTACCACATTCTTATAAATCTGGGACACAAGAAAAGCAGAATAGTCAGAATCTAAATATAACAACAGCAAAACTCACATCATTAGAAATTAATGGGAATAAAAGTGGGACAAAAATAATGCCCTGTGGAACACCACAAGATGAGAAGTAATTTTGGTGTAAGACAGTTCAACAACACAAGTCCTAAACTTCACAAAAAAGTGAAATTCACTGTGTCAACTCAACATAATCACAAATCTGATTTTTGGACACATGAATTATACAGATACCTTCTACTAAGGCATTACTATAGGCTAGAAAATACATCAAAGCAGATTCCTCCAAGTGAATGGTGTGATCCAAATCAGAATCAAAGCTTATAGTGAAAGTACCATTATAATTCATTTCTGTATTTCATCTGAAGAAAGTGTAATGGGAAACAACGGATATCTGGTTAAAATACTGTAGCAAGTAAAAAAAGCAGTGGGGAAGGTAGCGCCACTGACAAATGACCAAATAATAGGGGAATGAATCTTCTTAATGGAAAAATTAACACATATCTTGGCTACAAGAAGCACAACTAGGAGTAAAATGGGAAAAATGGACACTTTATCAGCCATCAGAATGGAATCTTATAAATGATAGAAAAACATGAATGAATTGGCCAAATAGTAGGTTAGTATAAGTAGTATACTTAAGTAGTATAAGTTGGTTTTTCAATGTGATGCTACTGCAGAGTGAATGCTGCTCATGTTTTGTAGATTTAGTCATATCTACCATTACCCTGCTCTGTTTGCTTGAGAGAAAGGAGCAGCAGTATCAACACCTATAAAAAGCCCCGTCACCATAACTGTGCAAGATGGATGATTCTCCTTCCCTGACCTCTCCTCTCCTCCCTCCCTCTCTGCTCTCTCAGATGACATGGCGTCCTCAGTACCGCAGCTCCAAGTTCCGCCACGTGTTTGGTAAGGCCGCCACCAAGGAGAGCTGCTATGATGGCGTGCCAATCACACGCAGCGTCCAGGACAACAACTTCTGTGCTGTCAACCCACGTTTCCTGGCAGTCATCACTGAGTGTGCCGGGGGAGGGGCCTTCCTGGTCCTGTCGATCCATCATGTGAGTATCTGCACCTCATGGTTGAATTTACAGACTGATGTCATTTTTGTCCTGATGTCTTTTTAAGTGGTTCATGCATTATTTCACTCAAAATGGTGATAAGGCATCCAGTGATATGTTGCCAAAGTTTCATTGATTTGTACTCTGATGGGCGACAAATTATCTTGCTACAAGGAGCGAAAAGTAGTCTGACCTCTGAATTTCTTCTTTTTTTTTTTTAAAGCTATTTGAGTCTAGTGTTGTCCTCACCGACATTGTGTTTCTCTCGCTGGAAAACTACAGAACTGATCACAGTTTTTTTTAGGTGATTTTTAGATAGATGAGATGGATGTAGTTATATAGGCTGTTGAAAGTTGAGGCACAGAAATAATGAATCTTAAATTGGTATTGCAACTGGAGCTTCTGTGTTGACCAATAATAACGTAAATAGGCCAGATATACTACTTCACTTGCCACTGAGTGGTTAGTGCAAAACAAAAGAAATTAATCCTCCCTTCAAAATAGAAAATGGCTAACATAAAGCCAATATCGCACTGAATATTAAAGTGAAACTTAATGAATGTTCAGTCTAAACATTAGTGTAGAAAGTACTAGAAACAATGTTCAAATAATGGGGTTTTCTAAAGCTTTATTGAAAGTTATTGTGCCATCCTCGTCTGTTTTTAATGGGTAATCTGAGATCAGAACTTTTCCCTGAGCAGTTTTGAACCCTGAGTGTTGCATATTCAGTATTTATCAGATGACTAAAATAAAACTATCCTGTAAGTACTCTGCAAACTTCAGGAAACTTTAAAACAGAATTGTCTGTTTTCATGCTGGCAGTTTAAGTCAGAAATGACTAAGGTAGGGCATAACCGTCTTTCATGGCCTCTCTATGCTCCTGCACTCACAGCACACCTGGAAAAGACAGCTCTGCTCTCAGAATATAAATAGCACAGCAGCAGTGGAGCCAAAAGAATCTCTAAATACCAGGAAAGCCCCGGCAGCTCATTCACTACAACCTAAACATCACATGTGGTCTGCTGCCCCCCCAGCCTCATTATTCTATCATGTCTCCCTCACCAACCTCATCTTAAATGTGTTTCATCCAACACTCATCCAGACATTATTTATGTATATTATCACACCTACTGGTGTTATCAGTAACAATACTGATCTCTCAACTAAACTCAGCCAGACCGCTTCACTCGTGTGCAGGTTAAATTTACAGTCCCCCTGTATATCTTCACTGCAGAGTGATTCATCAAGCTGAACACTTCTCCCTCCTTTTCTCCCTCTTCCCGTCTGTCTCCGTATTTTAAATTGTCTTGGTGAATTATCACCATCTTCCTGGCATGGGCAAGAATTGCATATAAGCTTAGGAATGACATAACTCATCTTTTGACCCCCTCTTTCCCCTCCTGTCTTGAAGAAGTGAAACTTCTGCACCCCCCCCTTCCACCGCCCTCACATCCCACCTATGTGTGTGTGCACTTACAGATAAGCTATTGTTCTGTGGAGAACATAGTTAACACACATAAATATAAGAACGGAAGTACTGTGTTCTTCTTACCTGTGCCTGTGTCGGGTTAGCTGGAAGCACACATAATGGTTACATCATTCCCTGGTTCCAAACACACTTTACTTGCACAATAATCTAGCCTGCGGGTGTGTGTGTCAGTTGATAGAAGGTTCTGTTCATACAAACAGCATAATTAGCAGTCTTGTTGAGGGAAAAAAATCTTCAGTAAGACTCAATGACTCCTCAGTCATGGAGGATTTGATTGCTTGCAAGAGCCAATACCTGTCCTAACGTGCACAGATCGACCTGTCCTGTTTCGATACTCTGTGCAACTGGCTGTCTTTAAAGCTGCACTAATCAATAATAATTTATATTGAAGGGGAGATCCACTGATTTTTCACATTTTACAAGTCAATTTGAAGGTGTTAGGGACATATGTGAAAAAAGATGTGTAAAGCCTTTTAAGGCTCAAGAGGGAGCGGTGCAAAATCTGATAAACTGACACAAGTGATGTCACTTGAGGCAGCGTCAGTTTGGTCTGAAGATGAAAAGTCTGAAAATGAATTAATCTGTTGGTGTGGAGAGAGAAAGATGTGCAATTACCAAACCTCTGCAGCCTGCAACACATCTCTGCTCGAGCATAGCGGCTCGAGGCTACATAAACCACTGGTAGCATAAGAATCTCAGACTGAAGTGCTAGCGGTTGAGTTGCATTGTGGGTAATATTTGGGCAGCAGGTTTTGACAAGTAAAATGAGTGCATGAAAACAGACAATATCTCTGGTATTACTGCATTGATTTTGATCCTTCTGAACGCTGAATCACTGGAGTACTCTTTTAACAGTTGATTCAAATTCCTACATGCAATGTGAAGGTGGTTATTTCAAAGTTAGCAACTAGCTGGTTCATTTAGCCACTAGAGAATAAAAAAGAGATATTTCCCTTAGTGTATAGTAACTACAGTGAATATTTGACTTACTCTCATTAGATGGCTGTTTGCAAACACTTTTTCCAGAACAACCTTACTAGGTGATAATATGTCAATAGTGTGTTTCCAACTCGTTTTGCTGCCCCTAAGTGGCCAAAACATCAGTTAATGCTGCTTTAAGTTTTGTCCAGTGTCAGACTGCAGCTCTCACTCTCAGGACACGCTGCTCTTTTCTTTACCAACGCTACGTACAGAGCTCCGTCAAAGAGCTTTCATGTGGGCAGCTGGGTCCACTTGGATTAAACTACAAAAAAACTAAAATTACAGACACAAGTCGGCTTAAACGATTTTAACAACATGAACTTAGAGGATGCAAGTGCAGTTCTTCCAATGTATAGTTTTAATTCTTTACTGTTTTCTGATCTTTTGGGGGGAAAAAAAATTCCTTTCCTTCCTCTCTTCCCTTCTACGTATGTTGGTTCTACGTACCATAATTATGCTGCTATTTTAGCCAGGGTCTCTGACAAAACAGATTTGAAATGAAGGCCTACTGTACTGTATGAATGAATGGCTGATTTGCCTTTGTTTTGAATGTTTTAACTCCACTTTAAGGTGGTTCTTTTTATAGGAAATCAAACCCTGCGGATAAAAGAAGACTGGGTTGTTTCTCTTAATTCCTGGAATGTTTGTAGTTTGTAAATAAAGGTTGTTTTTTTTAATCACAGTGTGGCTTTATGCATGTAGTAAACACCCAGTTAGATACATAGAGTACTCCATTAATCCCAACAGGAAGTGCCTGTGTTATAGCAGTAACACAAACCTTAAATCAAATGGGGTAGGTAAGAAGCAAAACGAAATAAAATAAAAAATACCAGCATTTAGAATAGAATAAATAATAACCTGAGAAAAGAGACTGAACTAAACTCCAGGGCCATACTCTCTAACCTTACTATGTATTATTACAACAATATAAAATAGGTCTTCATGGGAGAAGTTACAGTTGTTGACAAAAACTGTACATTGATAAACACTAAATATGTCCTTATGCCTGCTTATAACAATATTGTAGTGTTTTATAAAGCATTAATACTAATAGGGGGATTTAAAGTAAAGTGTTACTAATTCTGTTGGTTTATTTTTGGGTATCCCCCTGTCAGACGGGTAAAGTGGACCCTCACCACCCCAGAGTATCGGGCCACAGAGGCAACGTGTTAGACATCAAGTGGAATCCCTTCAATGACTACTGCATCGCCTCCGGCTCCGAGGACACGACGGTTTGTTCACACACACACACACACACACACACACACACACACACACACACACACAGTCAGCACATTTTCCAAAAGGTTCACTGACATGTTATCATTTGCTCTGGAATATGAGCATGTAACAGCAGGGGGACGATTCTACTGCCTTTCAGTTTAGTCTTAAGAAGAACTAGAAGTCATTCCTCACATTCCTCAGCTCTGACCTCGCAGAGAGGCTCAGCAAAAATCCCTGTAGACAGAAAGAGAGATGAAGAGTCAACAGGTTTTGTATCATCTTAACACAATTTTTAAAAAGTGTGCCTTTGGGTTGTATCAATTATTTTCCATATTCAGTGGACCGTACTTCCTGCGATTATTCCCACACTGGGTATTTTATATAACTGTAGAGCTGTTGTGTGCAGAGATTGATTTTTTTAGGGTTTTTTTTTTGTGTGTTTTATTAATTTGGTGTTGTGTGTGTGTCTATGTGTGTAGGTGAAAGTGTGGGAGATCCCTCCTCATGGTGTGCTGAAGAACCTTACAGTACCGTGGAAGGAGCTTCAGGGTCACAGCCGCAGAGTGAGCCTCATCGAGTGGCACCCGACTGCAAACAACATCCTGTTCAGCACAGCCTACGACTACAAGGTGACACACTGTACACATACACACTAGCCGTAGCACAAACTTGTGGGCGTTTCTGGCTAAATGGCTGTATGACAAGAAATGAACTCAGGAGGTGCTGTGACATATACTATGCAATTCTGTATTACAATGCAGCCAAACAGGTCACAGCTGTAAAGATGGCTTGCGGCTACAATACAGCCCACTGATTATTACAGCATTTTCCTGAGTTACTGTATGAAGCATCACAAGCATTTTGCATTCTACCTCATGAGTTGTGGTAGCTGTGCTGTTGTAGTGGGTCTGACTGTGTTGTGTTGTTGTGTTGAAGGGAAGCATCACTCTTCCCAGGACTGTCTTTGAGTACTTCAATGTCAAACACCAGCAAAGGCACGTGTAGTTGTGAAGAAACAGAACAGTCACAGGGTTTCTCTTGCATTAATGCTCTCTGTGCCTGTATGACATCATCAGCAAAGTCACTAAATGCCCCTCACTGGCAAACAGGGTCTCAACAATGCAAACTATACTGTAGTCTGCCTACATCTGTGCCTCAACTCCCCCAGCAGATTTATGCATGAAAATAAATAAAAATACAATTCTAAAGCATGAAAATGTCCATACATATACTACAGCAAAAACAAGTACAGTTTGTAAAATAAGACGATCGTGATACTTCCTGTTGTAACACAGAACATTCCCCTTCATAAAAAAGTTCACATCGGAAGTGTAACACTGGAAATGTTAAATGTTAACCTCCGTCCCCCAAAATAAAAGTCTCCACTTAATCCTCAGGATTTTACAGAGATGTACAAAAGCCTGTTAATGACATGATGCAATATCACACTGCTACACTGTAAAGTTGAAATGTTAAGTTAACCTTTCCCACCAATTTTAGTTTCAACTCGTAAGACAATAAATTTTAGTCTGAAAACCAAATGCAGCATATGAAATCCAAATCAATTTGAAATCATCAGTGTCTCAAGTCATAAGTCAGTGTCATTCAGATGAAGTGCTTAATGGATCATCAAACGACATCTCAAACCCTGTATCCAATAATGTTTGTAACTTTCTAAAATTTGACAATCTGACAGGTGAGTGCAGGTGAGACAGTATTCAGGATTTTAACTTTTCCCTTAAAGTTCTTGGCTTTGTATGTGCGAATGAGTGCAGCGCCATGAGTTCCTTCGAGGAAAGACTGTCTGAAGGTTTACACATACATTTGTATGATTTTTGCATCTCCTCCCTGTGTTGGTCGGCTTTTCACCCAGTCTTCAAATGTAGCCAGACTAAAAAGAGGAGTCTCTGTTGGTTGCCTGGCAACCTCAAAGCAAAAGACTTGTCATAAAACCACAACATGTCAGTTTTTGTTTTTGTTTTTACACAGCAGCTAACCAGCTGCTCGCAAATAAGTATAAAGCAAAGCAAATAAGTATAATAATAATAATTCCAGGGAATAACATTCCCTAAATGTCAAACTATTCTATCCTAGTCCTGTTAANTGTAGCCTTACTTTGTATATTTACATTTCTATTTACCGAACAGACGTGAGAATGAGAGTAATGATTTAACTCTCAGCAAAGCAAATAAGTATAATAATAATAATTCCCTAAATGTCAAACTATTCTATCCTAGTCCTGTTAACTATTCTTTAAACCTCAAAAGAGAAATAAATAAGTGCTACTTGAGTTGCCATCTGACTGACTATCTGAATTTGTGTGTGTGTGTGTGCGCGTGCGGGTGCTTGCGTGTGTTTTTCTGCACCGTCTGCCCACACCTGCAGATAATGATCTGGAACCTGGACTGTTCAGAGCAGGTGATAAAGAACCCTGTACGGACCATCAGCCACCACACAGACGTGGTCCTCTCCATGTCCTTCAACACAGACTGCAGCCTCCTCGCCACCACCTGCAAGGACAGGAGGGTCCGGCTGATGGAGCCGCGCTCAGGAAACCTACTGCGGGTAATGCTCAGTGTGTGTGTGTGTGTGTGTGTGTGTGTGTGTGTGTGTGTATTGTTTGTATCTTTATCTGGTGTAATAATCCTGCAAAAACATTGAAGGAACTGCAGTGTTCTTGTTTTGATATTGTTATTTCAATATGCACCAGCCTATGTAATGTAACACATATTACTGTAAATTACAGGTGTTTTAGTGCTTATTTCTGTTATATTTTAAAATACATGGAATTTATCACTGTTTATTTATTATATTAAAAAGTGAAAAAGATCATTTAAAAATGAGAAACTGTTCTATGATCAGCGGCTCATTTGTATTTTCTCTCAAATTTGCTCCTCACCTTTTTTCTTAGATGCACTTGCAGCTTGTTTACTTGCTGGAAACTGTGTCTCTTTGCATCTAGAAATACAACTTTAAAATGCCTGGGGACATAAAATCCAAATGAAAATCAATTTCAACCGATGTGCTCCAGATATTTTTCAGTGAGATCAATAAAATCTGAAAACCATGAGCCTCAGTTGTGGTGAACTATAGTATGACGGCCAGTATTGCATAAGTGGGAGTTCCCTGCTCCATTTCCCCTCTCCCAGCTTGGGCACTCAGGCACTCATCCAGCACCACACAGCCAAAACTGACACCTCTGGCCTGGACTGGCCAACGGCATAACTCCATAGACCTCTGGGTCACCAGCCAATGACTCACACACTTTACGTTAGTCTGCTCTCACTCCGTTTGCCTGCCAAACAAGCTCATGTAGATGGACATGTAGGAGACATTTCATCATTGTGCTGTAATATTGATGTTTTGGAAGCCAATACTGTTAGCAGATTCGTCTACACCTTTTATATATAAAAAAAATCTTATACTGTGCATGCCAAATGCTTGATGCTTTCTTTGATGTATGTTGGGTTGTGTGTTTGCAGGAAGCCAACTGCAAGACACACAAAGCCAGTAAGGTGTTGATCCTGGGTAACATGAAGATGCTCCTCACATCAGGCACTTCACGCTGGAACGATCGACAGGTAGCACTGTGGGATCAGGTAAGAGCAACTAAAGAGTAACAGGAACTTTTACGTGGATTTTTGGTCATGTGGTGACGCATACGAACACTTCTGATCAGGTTATAGAGAGTTAGAGAAATTCATGATCTGACCTGGTTCAAAACTCCGAACCAGGAGGGCAACACAAAGGTACAGTAAGTGCACCCTTGTCACCAAAAGCTCAGTTACCTTTAATCTGGATTAAAGACTTAAAAAGTTTAGAAAGTTTAAGATATCAAATAGTGATATACAGTACGGAGATGCATTTACTACAGGGGCCCGTGTATAGAACCCACATGAGAAGACAAATAAACTAACAGTAGGCCCAAGAATAGACACAGTGCCACAACAATAGAGTAATAATTTTACAAATGAAGTAATGGCCACCTTATTACATCAGAGAGGTCACAACTCTAGGCGGCTCTATTTCCTCATCTACACCATTAAAGCCCCTGATTAATAGAGAGTCGGGATGAAATGGAAAAAAAGACATTAACACTGAATTGCCGGTTTACCAGGTACACCAAGCTAAAACTACTGCAGTCTAATATAACAGTCCTGCCATGAATCCTCCCTTCATGATGTTTATAATGTTCAGTTTGTGATGAGATTGTTTGCGTTTTGGAAAGCTAAATATTATTTGGGTGTACCTATTATTTGGGTGTACCTAATAAACTGCCCACTGAGTGTATAAGGTAAACAAATGGCTGAATATTGAAATAAATATAGAAAGAAAATATTAAGACAAAAGTTGAGAGGTTAGGAAAGTTGAATATTTTGGACGTAAAAAACTGGGATTTTCAGTGGTCTCTCTTGCATCTCTCTTGCTCCAGATGGCCTCGTATGTCAATCAAATACTGGGATTGTGCTAAAACAAAATGAAAACATGTAGTACACACAAGCTCCTCCCACCCTGATGTATGATCTTCAGTGGTGGAAAGTCTATTTTGTGCAAACTCATGCTTCTAGTCCACTACACCTCACAGGGGAGTATTGCACTTTCTACTAGTATTAAATAAGCTTATAAAATGTTTAAATTTTAAAGTTTGCGACCTTTAAAAAAAAACAACCACAGAATGTCACGTTTCAGATGTCTGGGTTTGCACCAAATAGACATTTCCCCTCTAAACTTCTCAGTTGGTTTCACGGAAATGATTGATGCTCAAAGAGGTCATCATCAGATCAGTCACAGGAGCCATTATTTGTGTGAAGCAAATACTTTTCTGTTTCAGGTACATGAACAATACTTTTAATAAAAATTTTGAATACAGGAATTTTACTTGTAACATAGTGCTTTACATTGTTGTATTATTATTTTTACTTGAGTAAGGGATCTGACTATTCCCTCACCTTGATGATTTTATGGCTCTTAGGATGGTGTAAAACTCAGCCCCACACAACATAAAGTCTGACGCACAACTCTGCCACCTTGTGGACAAATTAGTGGCCAAGCTAAACCACTCATCGGTACACCTGAAGAATTCACTCAGCCTGTGTTAAAGTGGAGTGAAGTTATTTTCTTCTTGATTATGTCAGTACCGAGCACCCTGCTCACACCTGTTGGTTTGTTATTGTGTGGGTGTAGCAGGCTGGTGTATTTTGATGTGTGCGAGTGTATCGTGGGTGGAGGATTATGGCTGAAGCACGGATTAGGGATTGAGCACTGAGTATTTTTAATTCAGCGCTGGAGAGTACCTCTTATGCAGAAGTGGATTTAAATGATAGAGTGTTTTGATATGAGGGATCGGTGTGCATGCTGCTGGTGCTTAAGTGTTGTTTTTGGTTCGAGTTGTTGGTCTTTGTGTGTGTTTGCAGGACGATCTGTCTGTGCCTTTGTTAGAAGAGAACCTGGACGGTTCCTCAGGAGTCCTCTTTCCTTTCTACGACCCTGACACACACATGCTCTACCTTGCTGGGAAGGTGGGTCTCTGAAAGCAACCAGATACTGTCTAGACATTTACACACAAAATATTATGGTTACAAAGACTTCTCTTGCCTCTTGTCAGGGTGATGGGAATATCAGGTACTATGAGATCAGCTCAGAAAAACCATACATCCAGTACCTAACAGAGTACCGCTCACACTTACCTCAGAAAGGAATGGGTAAGGAACACACACACAAACACACACATACAGGCACACAATAGTAAAATCACATAGACATGTCACATACACAGCTGCCTGTTCACTTATTTTTACTTTCTGCATCTATAATCAAACTCCACTTTGTTGGATGCTATGTTGTGTAATTTTATTTGCTGAATATGGGTGAAAATAATATATGAAAAATGATGTGCTTGGAAACTACATCTCTTTTCTAGCTGTGCTGACTCTCTCGCACCTGTAAGCAAAACTGCTGTGCAAATAAGCTAACCATATTTGAATAGCCAAACCAGCTGATCATAGCCAGGTTGTAGATCATGTGAAGGGACATGCAGCATGACGTGAAGCCTTCAAACAGACAGACATCATACACGTATTTTTTAAATCTTAAACTCTAATATTTTGCTGCTATTTTCACTGTGGTCATTTTAAAAAAACAAAACAAAAAAAAAAACAAGTAGATAATTAAAAATATTCATTGCGAGGGTCTAACTATCAAAAATAGTCAATTTGTTTTAAAGGTCCCATATTGTATAAAGGAGATGTCCATGTCTGCTTTGATTATAAAGCAGGTCTAGGCTCTATATTAATTCTATGAAAGTATCAGAGTGATCAGTCCACAGAGGCTGAAACTGAGGCTTAAAACGAGCTGCCAGGACTCCAGTAACTTTGTGATGTCACTATCACTATACAGCTGTGCCCGTAAGCCCCGCCCACCCGGACCCACCATCCAACCTTGCAGGATTTAGTTTCTCTGAATGTTTACCTGAAATCTGCTATATTTTTATTTGAGCAATCAGAAAACAGTCACAGCCAATCAGAAGAGAGGCTCTTATTGGTTATTAAAACCACAAATATATATATTCTTATAGATCAACACCGTAAAAGTGTAAATTATGGGAACTTTTTAATTTAGGTCCTGATAATGTGTTCTTAATAAAGTGCTCATTGAGTTTGTCTTACTGTGACAGCACAGATATATTATAGCACACTAGTACAGGATAAAAAGTTAGTCACTCAGCATGTGTGTTCTCCTACAGGTGTGATGCCAAAGAGAGGCCTGGATGTGAGTTCCTGTGAGGTGTTCAGGTTCTACAAACTGGTGACAATCAAGAGTCTCATTGAGCCTCTAGCCATGATCGTACCCCGCAGGGTAAGAGTACATGGACTTGGTAGTGTAATACATCTCAGAGTCCTACTTTGGTGTCTGGTGTGAATTTCCTGTGTATGTGTTTACAGTCGGAGTCGTACCAAGAAGACATCTATCCAATGACATCTGGTAACAAGCCTGCTTTAACTGCAGAGGAGTGGCTCAGTGGCATCGACAAAGGTCCGAAAAGACTTATGCTTGTGTGTGCATTTGTATTTGTTAGCGATGTGGTGGGGCCTGCGTGGGGTTTCTCCTGTTGTCAGACTATATGCAACCCATCTTCCTCCTGGTCACGCTCTTTGTTTTCCAGGCCCAGTGTTGATGTCTCTGAAGCCTGGAAGTCAAGTAGCAGATTCATATTCGGAGATGAGCAAAGGGCTGGGGAACACTCTGGACACTCGCAGGTCTCAGAGCAGACCAGGCATGCTACAGCTGGCGTACATTCAGGACCACCTGGGAACCAAAGACGGCAAAGAGGACAGCGGCCATGCAGACGACGACAAAAGTCGAACACCCGTTAGCAACGGAGAAGACCTTGCACTTTGTTCTCCGCCGAGGACAGAGAATGAGGTACTGAATTATTTCAGTGTTGCAACCTGTCGGGTCATCCTTTGGTTTTATGTCACGCTGTTTGTATAACCATTTAGTTTTGACATTTTCAATATATTCATTCCAATGGTGTAGGTCAATGCAATTTTTTTTATTCATTATTATTATTAGTTTTCAGCTAAAATATTTCAACTATTCATGGTTCCGATATCCTAATTACTTTAATAATACACGGACTATTTCTTGACAACGTCCTCAAAAACTAGTGGATGGATTACTATGAAATTTGGTATTATGGTAGCTGGAAAGGAAGAGGACACTATGGAGTGAGACTAGAGTAAGTAAAATCAGATTGAGGGGGCTGTCTCCCCAATCTCCAGTGGAAATAACCCCCTAATATATTCCAATATATTGTGTATTTGTCTTGTCCACAGTTGCGTCTCAAGTTCCACAAGCAGCAAGAGGAAATCCGACGGCTGAGAGAGCTCCTCAACCAGAGAGACGTGCGCGTCAAACAGCTGGAGCTTGAGATTAAGAACATGAAAAACTCCCAGTCTCAGGGCTCACTTTAAGATTGGCCCGACCTGCAGTCACCCTCACCTCCTCACGGGATACATGCATTACTATACAAACTTACTAACCCTAACCACCTACACTCTTTTGCACTCTTTTGACTCACCTCTTTTTTCCGCTGATGAGCCCCAGCGTACTCACTGCACAGGGGTGATCTAAATCTTGACTTTGTGTTTGCAATCTGTCATTTTGTCAGTTCTACACAGGGTGCACATATTCTTTGTTCATGTATATACACTTATACACTGAGTCTTACCCCGCTGCAACATGTTTTAAAACTCTTTGCACCTTTGGACCTTTCCCTCGTTTCTTTTGTATGCTTCACAGCTATGCAATAAAAGGATGTTTGTGCCTGTCTTGACTGAATGATGTGGCTGTCTGCGAGTTGTTTGAAAGTTGTTGCAGGGCAGGAGCAGACATCCTGTATGATTGTAATGATAAGGCTGAATTTATTTTCTATGCTCGGTGATTGTTGTTTTTGTTTTTTTTTTTTGTTATGTAAACTACTGTAACTGGAGATGGTTGTGGTGTTTAATGTTCAGTATGTGTGCTTGAATGACAATATGATCCCAGCTGTGTTCTGCCATTCCATTGAGCTGCATTTGTTTGATTTTTAAAATTTTTTTTTTTATTTTTAATTTTTATTTTTGAATGACTGGAAAATTGGTGAAAAATCAATCTTTTTCACTGCAGCTATTGTATAAGCCAATTCCGTAACTGATGCCATGTAGCAGTTTTGATCTTAATTTTTATATTTATTTTAAAATACAGTAAACGAAAATAATTGAATTCACGTTTGTAATTTTGGAAAATACAGCACACAACATGTTTAAAGGCTGCTTGCTTTTTGCTGGTGTGAGGTCACTGTGAGGAAAAAGTTTAAAGTTATTGTAGAGCCTGAGCACTGCACCACTTTTGAGTTAGCTTGCGTTCCACTACTGTAGCTTTCGGTTTTCAACTTATTTTCCCATAGAGTGGCTTTTTATTGCTCTTTGTAAAAAGATAATATGTGATACTGGGGTTTTTGGTCATCAGCTAAAAGGATATCTAAATACTGTACTGATATCAGGAGCAGCGGAGATAATGTAAACCATGAGACAATATATACTCCTGCCACTCCTCGCCACTTTATTAGGTACACCTGTACAAGCTAAAGCAATCTAATACAACAGTTCTGCCATGAATTGTACTTCCACAAAGTTTATAAATGTTCACTTTCTGTTGACATTAACAGAAATTTAATTCTACTATGTTTATTATTAAGGTTATAGCGAGTGGTGGTGGTGTTCTGGAGTGCATTATATTGAAAGGGGGGTTTCTAATATTTTGTCCACCGCATCTGCATACATGAGGGGGGCAAAATATAGTGTACCTAATAAAGTGGCCAGCAAGTGTAAATATGTTTACTATCAGAGATTTTGCCATACTGTTTACACTGTGGAAGCTATCGCTATCTATTTAATAATGCGAGCAGCTACATTTCACTTATCCAGTGAAATGTCTCTACATCTTCTACATAGATTGGCACATTATCGTGTAGATGTTCATGTTCGCCAGTTATCTACCCTTATGACTTTCGGATATCAGCTGACTCTTTCTGTTGCACCTCCATGAGGTTGACATTTGTGGATTTGAGTGAATTGTCTCTAGAACTATTAGATGAATTGCCGTCAGATTTGGAAAATTTGGTATAATGTTGGAAATTCAGGTCTCTGTCTGGATAAATTGTAAAGCTTTGATGATCCTTTAACTTCATCTATCACCATCATAAGCTCAAGATTTTGACCTACTGTGGTTTATGGCCAAACCTATGACATTCCCACCAGCCTCAGGTGTACTGCGTTTAGTGGTAATTTTGTTAGCATACTAACATGCTAATCTAACATTGTAAACATGGTAAACAATAGCCTATACCTGTTAGCATATTAGCATTGTCACTGTCAATGGGTTAGCATGCTGATGTTAGCATTTAGCTCTAAGCACCACTGTGCCTAAGTACAGCCTCACAGAGCTTCTAGCAGGACCGTTTTATGATAGTATATGTTTTTATATGATTTTTTTTTTCTATTATCAATTTGATAAATTTCCTAATTTTCTGGTATTTAACTCTGGATCAGACAAAAAAACAAACAAACAAACAACAAAAGCAGAGATTTCTACCTGGTTATTTTACCATTTTTAGTGAATGCACACTGTTGATGAAATGAAAACACCTGTTGACAAAACAATCTCCACTCAAGATCCACTTGTTCCGGAGCTTTCAATGGTCATCATGGTCACAAGTTTGTGTGGAGATTGTGAAGAACAAACCTTTAAGCCAAAAACACGGATAAGAAGTCTATTGGTAAAAGTTTGAACAACTACAGTTCAGTGACAACTGAGCAAACTTAATTTGCTTGTGAGAATCTTGTGATGTGCTTGAAAGCCTTGAGTAAGCTTGAGTGGAAATTGTCCTGCAAAAATTATATTTTCTTTGAATTACTACTGCTTAAATTTTACTTTCTAGTACAGATAAGTAGATTTTAGAAGATACACAGAGATCCCCAGTATGACATTACAGCTTTGAAAGAAACCCTCTATGAGAAAATACCTTGTCTGTATGAGGCGAGTGGAACAGAAGTGAGCTTAAAAAGGTGGCAGCTTTTTGTCTCTTTACATACGATAGGGAATTCCTATATGTTTTGTCAGTTTTTAAGTGCTTAACTAAGTGATAATCTATTAAAGCAACCACAACAGGCTTAAATAACTGTAAAATGTACATACATTTACGCTGAGCAGTTGGTAAAGTCCATACTCATGGCTTGTAGAGATGTGTTTTCCCTCAGGGAACTTCTGAATGGTGTTCATAGTTTCTGGCACGGTGGTGCAGTTGGACCAGTTTCTCATATTTGTTGCTTTCAGAATTAGGGCAGTTGATTTTAACCTGACCTTTTTTTTTTTAACAGAATAAGAGCAAGAAAACATTCCCTTATCTCTCACCAACTTGTTGAGAGAAACAATATGCTGATATGTGTAAATATGCGTAGATGTCACTGAAACGCTTGCAGATATTAGGTAACACAAACATTGTAGCTGTTAGTTGATCCTAAGATAACCAGTCAGATACTGTATGAATGACCATGCATGCCTGTATTTATGTAGTCAGAGGCACACACACTATAATGATATTCTAGATTTGGCTTACGTTTCATGGCCACTTGTCAAAAAAAAAAAAAAAAAAAAAAAAAAAAAAAAAAAAGGTAACACGTGGAAACTGCCATACCAACCCACAAACGTACAGACACACTGGTTTCAATACAATTGTGATCTGTGAACCCTTTGACCTCTGTCAGGACAGTTCTAGCACAGCTTCATCCCTGGCTGACTTTTGTCCAGGAGCAGCAACGGTCAGCCAGGGTAAACTATAACCACCACTGTTGTTAGTGGACAAGTTTCAACACATTCCCACCATGAGCTGCTGTTTTTACAGTTGGACAGTGGACTTGTTCAAGGGCTGATTGGGCTGTTTGTTCACATTAAACAGTTTAAGCTAACTGGTTTCACTTACATATATCTTCTTTTCTCTCACAGAACTTTTACAAACTGTTTAATCATATCCATGTTTACCATAGAATTTATTCAAACGGTTTTTCCCCATCAAAAAAAAAGAAGATTGTATCTATATAGTATTTCTGCCTCTCAACGGTTTGCTTGGAACTGCAAATGAAAAAAAGGATTGTTGAAAATGTCTGCCAAAATTGCACATTTAAGGAACAATCATTGATTCGCTTGGGAATTCAGTACTTGATGCAGTTTATACCACAAATAAATTCTCAGCCTGTACGAAATACAGCATATCACTAGCTAGATAACAACAGCAGCTGCCATTGTTGAGCAGTCTTCAGCACTGTGTCAAAAGCAAATCTGTGTCTTTTCACTGCTGCCCCATTTTACTCACACCTGAGCCCACATGTAGCTGAATTTGGCAAACCATTCATTGACATTAGAGGCTTATTCACTGACAATCCTTCGTATGTGGAGTTTGCACAATTAAAATAAAAAAATAAAAAAATGGGCAAAAGAGAAACCAGATTTAAAAAAAAAAAAAAAAAAATCCTGTTTGTCAAAGTCTTTTTTTCTTCTGAGAATAACATATTTCTGGTATATTCCTTTAAAGGCTCTGTACACCCACACAGGTGTTTCCACTGACTGTGGCTCATTAGACGTCTGCACAGGTGTAGGTTAGGTGGAACCATTTGGGAATTGCATGAAATTCACTAACTTCTCCTACCCAAACTGGTGCAACAATGTTAATACAGTAGGACGGTCAGAGAGATGTCAGTCAAACACATTAACCTAGTGAAACTACCTGTGTGGGTAGACTACATATGTGCTGAACTTTTAAAGCACTTTGGTACGACTAGTACAGTTTATTCATATTGTTGAATAACACAAGTTATTCAGTTTTGTTAAATTGAAAACAGCCATTGTGGCTGAAAGAAGAATTGTGATGTCTGTGAACTGACTCAGTAATGTCTGTTAGCTAATATTAGCTAACATTAGCCACCACAAGCTACTTGGGGTGGTTTCCCAAAGACATTTAAGACTGGCCCATAGTGTTAGGCCAGTCTAAATTTTGCTCTTAGGTTAGTCTAATACAAGTTAGACAGTTTCACAAAAACAAAGACTGACGTATTTCAAACCTAAGAAGTTAGCCACCTGACCCCAAAACTCATTCTGAACTAAGATCCATGTTTACATGGTAACCATCAATGACACCTGCTAGAGGTACTGGTGGTAAATATTTTTTTCCTTGCATCTGGTACCATGTAATTTACCCAGAATTCATGAACTAATCAGCTTTGTGCAGCAGATGAATCTAAAGTCTGACATTAGTTAGATCTAAGCCATAGTCAAAGTCTATCTTTGTGAAACTGGCCCCGGGTCACACCAGACCAGGTAAGGCTGGAGCAGAAAAACTTTTTCTAAAAGTTATGTGGTGTTGCTTTAAAATAGTTTTACTTAAAATGGGTGTTTGTCACATAGCAAGGGGCCAATCAAAAGATGCTAATTGTTGCATCATAGGAAATGTAGGCCTCACTTATATTTGGGACCAAAACTCAGGATATCTCAGCCTTTGCTGCATTGATTTTGACCATACTCATAAAAATCTCTTTCATGTGGAAGGCGCAATAATAAGTTACTGGAGTCGCCCTTTAAACTGATGAATGATTGAATTTGATTCCACATTTGCAGTTTTGGGAGAAATGGCACAAATTGCAAGCTACTGTCTGACATTGGGAGAACAAAATGATACCCTTACTGCCAACTAGATCATCAATACCCATTCATATCCTTTAATTCTTTTAGTGTATTATTATTATTTGCACTAGTGCAAATAAAGAATAATAATACAGACATCATACATTAGTGTGCATTGTTGAAAAGAGGCAGTGTATTTTTTGTTTTTCAAAGGCACCAAGTTTTATGAACGAATCGTCACAATGTTCTGGTGAGTGATGATTGCATTACTGTACAGAAACTTGTAATAGTTATTATTCTGTTCCTGTTATGAATGTGGCCAATACCAAGTCCTCACAAAAAACCTCTCAACAAACCAAATGAGAACAACAACATCAATATATTCCAGACACCTCTCAGTTTTAAAGCATGCACACTAACAGCCTCTTACGTTATAATGGAGCAATAATGTAGCTGCAGAGTCAACTGTAGCATTCACTGTCTGAACATGTCTGAGTTAATAAACCATTTCATTTGAGGATTGTTGCTGGGTTCATATGAGCCTCACTGTGCCTGACTTAAATGCATTATAAATGCAATTATTGTGATGTCTTTAAATTGTCTGTTAAATGTATTTAGTAAAAACTGGAAAAGATTTTATCCCATTTCTTTTAATATTGTTTCTAAAACATGTAAAAAATATATTAATCACATAAAGTATAATTAAAATTTTCTGGGAAATCCATTTGTCTGTTTATAGACCTTCTCTGATAAATCAGACCATAGACGACTGAAACAAATAAACTAAAATAGAAAACATTTCACTCAGTTGCACAAACACGTTAATATTAGAGCAGAGTTCACTATTTTTGTTACAAAAACAGCTTCCTCAGTTAACTGTTGACTGTTTGGAGTGAAAACAAACATTTTCATCTGTACATGATTGTCCCGCTTGTATTTAGAATATAAAAATGAGCTCTATACGAACCAGCAGCCATAAACTCTTGAAAACAAATTACTGTCCTTCAAAAACAGAGTAATTGTTTAGTTGCCATTTCAGGGCTAAATGTTAAACATAAAGGCGTTACAGACCAGTGCTCTGTATCTTGGGGTTACATTACTGTTTCTGTAAAGTGAAAAATTACTACAGTTTGTTACAGAATGCATTATACACTGCAGACTACAAGCTACTACAGCCTTAACCTTATGAAAACTCTTCAAGTATAGATGTGTATTCTTTCAAAACAATACTCAGATGCTTGTTGTGCGTTCAGTTACTGGTTGCTGTAAACCACTGGTTCCCAATCTGACAACAAGATACAGTATCGGGTCATGCTATACACCAAATGTGTTAATATCTTTGCCATAGTTTTCCCTCTTCATCCCTATAAAAGGTATTCAAATGCAAAAGCCTGGAAAGATTTGACTGTTCACAACTCAGACATATGCTGAGCAGACATTGCATCATGAAGCCAAAAATGTGGTTGGGAATCACTAATTTTTCCTGTCCATTATAGCCACGAAGTGATTCATTCCTATTTCTACTCCAGTGTTAGAAATGGTAGACAAAATCAACAGTCCTCATTCTTTGCAAAAATGTATACAACCAAAGCAAATGAGTCTTTGAGTCTGAGTTTGCCAAATCAAATGATAATCTTCCCAAGTTGGTCTTTTTAAAAGAATTCTCACTGCGTTACCAAGAGAATTTCATCCTAAAAAGACAGTATTTGGAGCATACACATTTCACTTCATCTAATTCAGGCTACTAAGGCCTCACATAGTGCGGTCTTTGCTACAGATGAATATCAGAAAGTGGACTGTGGATTTTGTCCTTCTTTTACACTGGACTCACTACAATAGGATCTCCTCATGGCAAGAATGGAGAGGAGAAATGAACAGTGTCCAACTGCTATTTCCACATACATACTGGCATGGGAGTATTTTTTCATGACAAACTTGTAAAAAAATCCATACTTATCTTTAAGACTGGACACAAAGCCTTTCCTGTGTAGTTATACACAGTCACCATCACTGTAGAGAACAAAATGTGGCCATATGGCCATCATTTCATCCCTTTACGTTAATTTTGGAACATGAGAAAAGCAAGGCAGGAAGAGAGAAAAGCACAAAATGTTAACATTTTATTTACAAAGTTGTTTTTTGTCATACAGAAAGTAAAAATGTAGCTACAACCTTGATTTGTGCAACAGGCGGCCACACTAAAAATCATGGCTCGCTGGTTGCACAGCTGCTATAGCAATAATTTTATTGGGAAAAATAAGGAACAGAAAAAAAAAAAAAAAAGACAAAAAATGAGAAATAATAAACCCAACAACAAAAAATAATTCATCCAACAAAATATTAAAAGCACAGACCCAAAACTAGATACCAGTCCCAAAGTTCTCACACGGGAATACATAAAGAGGGATCGACAGTGAAATTGTGGAATGCTGAGTGGTGGGCTGCCTGAGAACCTCGGGGGGCCGTGGGGTGGGTGAGGTGGAGGGTGTTGGGTGGCTCTCAGTTCCATTGGGGGAGAAAAAAAAGGGTTGGGGGGGGGGCAGCTCCACTCGGCCCACCCATCCGGTACAGTCTTGCCCCATTAAAAGAGCTCAGAGCTGGGGGGGTAGACGTGGATTACAAAGGCGGTGCGAGTTGTAAGAGGGCGGATGTTCGGGTTTGTGGGGGAGGAAGGGTAACTCGGTAGGCTCATGTTTTCAGTTTTGCTCTTAATCGTCGTCTTCATCGTCGTCATCGTCGTCTTCGTCCTCTGGGTCTCGCTTTCTCTTCTCGCCTTTGCCAGTTTCTGCTTCTTGGGACAAAAAGGAGAAGGGTGTCAAGACCACAACACTTCACTGCGATTCATTTGTATTTTTATTATCAATTAATCTGCCAATTCTTTTCTCAATTAATCAGATTAAGACCATAAAATGTCAGAAAAATGTGATCTCATTCATGCAACTGAAGTTGTGCACTGCATGTGCTACATATTTTAGACATGTGGTGACTTTTTAAACAATCTGTAAGATTTTTAAATTTGGCCTTTACCATAATAAACAACCGTAGACTAAGCATTATTCATGAGATCCGCTGGTGGGTTCACTAGGGGAGTGTCGGCAGTGTTAAAGAATGGTCACTATCATGTTTTGCTGTTCCTACATGTTAAAATGTTACAGGATTAGGAGCTTAAAATAAAGTGACAGATACACGATCAGCTACAACATTAACACCGCCTGCCTAATAATGTGTAGGTCCCGCTCATGCAACCAAAACAGTTCTGACTCGTCGACGCATGGACTCCACAAGACCTCTGACTGTGTCCTGTGGTATCAGGCACCGTGACGTTTGCAGCAGATCCTGTAAGTGCTGTAAGTTGCGAGATGGGGCTTCCCTGGCTCGGACTTGTTTGTCCAGCACTTCCCACAGATGATCGATTGGATTGAGATCTGGGGAATTTGGAGGCCATGGCAACAGCTTGAACTACTTGTCTGATCAATTTTTGCAGTGGCAGGGGGCATTATCCTGCTGAAAGAGGCCACTTTCTTCAGGGAATACCATTGCCACGAAGGGGTGTACGTACTCTGCATGATGTTTAGGTAGGTGGTACGTGTCAAAGTAACATCCACATGAATGCCAGGACCCAAGGTGCCCCAGCAAAACATCGCCCAGGGCATCACACTGTCTCCACCAGCTTGCTTTCGTCCCATAGGCGCATTCATCTAACCAGGCCACCTTCCTTGGACCACATTTGGTAGGTACTGACCACTGCACCCCAAAAGACATGTTTTGGAGAAGCTCTGATCCAGTCATGGAGCTATCACAATTTGGCCCTCATGAAAGATGCTCAGGTCTTTACACTTGCCCATTTCTCCTGCTTCCAACACATCAACTTCAAGAACTGACTGTTCACCTCCTGTCTTATGTATCCCATCACTTGACAGGTGCTAGTGTAACGAGTTAATCAGTTATTCACTTCACCTATCTGTTGTTGTAATCTTGTGGCTGATTGCTGGATGTATCTTCAGTACTGAAATTTTTCTTTTTTACCAGCCCTTCCCAGAAGTTTCTCTTTCTCATGTTAGTATTTATTTCTAAGTCACGATTAACATTCTCATACTGTGTTTTACTTGTAACCAATCTTCTATAATGTCCTAATATCTTAAGTACAGTAATGGGTAATGACTACAGCAGGAACATTAAAGTTGTTGGCACAGATAGATCTTCCTCAGTAAACAGAACCGCCAGCAGATATCATAATATTCCTGGTATCAAGTTTTTTTATGGTCATTATTAAGTCAACGACACTACTCAACATTCTGCCCACATCTCTTTTGTTAACGTGTGTACAAAGAAAATTCAAAAACTCAAGGACACTCCACCTTTATCTTCCAATTAATGCCAAAACCACTTTGTTTCCAAGACTGGACAACTGCAGCTTAAATATATCCAACTACTGACCTTTACACACACACACACACACACACACACACACACACACACACACACACACACACACACACACACACACACACACACACACACACACACACGACACACACACACACACACACACACACACACACACACACACACACCACCCTTGATTAACACAGTTGGCAAAAAAACTGTTTGGAATTATTTAGCACTTTCACTTTTAATTATCAAGAGTACAAACTGGCGGATTGGAGGAACAAGTTGTGATATTAGATTCATAAAAAAAGATTGTTTAACTTAACTTTTATTGAGCATTTTAACACTAATTACACTTTTTAATTAGTAAATTGAATGCAGTCAATTTATTATGCTATTAATTGAGTCTGCTCTGGAAATTCTAGTTATATCTGTCCTCCAGACTGAAAAAAACCAAACTACCTGCCCCTGAGGTAACTCACTACCATGTGGAGAGTCAGAGTTGTAATTTGATAAGAGACTGAGTGCAGATTGCTGAGTGTAGTAGCTATATTTTACTGTGTAGAAGTAAGTGTTTGAGGTTCTCTGGGTCTCTAGGTTTTTGAATACATTTTTTTTTAAATGTGGCGTGTTCAAGCTAAAACTGGGTGTATAGTTGTTCTTTAAGGAGATGGTACATACCGTCTTCATCTTCATCGTCATCGTCATCCTCTTCATCTACTTCTCCATCCTGACCAAAATCTTCCTCCTTTGTAAACAAAATTAAGCAAGTTAAAAACTGAAACAATTATTTCAAAGTCCAAATAATACAACTGAGCTTTTTTTTTTTTTTACCTCATCTTCTCCGCTGACCTCTTCATCATCCTCTTCTCCTTCTACCTCCTCTTCATCTTCCTCATCCTCCTCTTCCTCATCAAAGTCCTCCTCCTCTCCATCTTCATCTTCCTCCTCCTCTCCCTCTGCAATACAAAAGCAAAAACAATCAGTCAACCACAGACAGTGCAAGAATGCTGAGATCAAGTTATACACATATGCATTACATTTTTTAAGGCAAGAGATATGATATATGTCTATTAAAGAAAGTTCAAGATGAGCAGCCATGCTTTGGTTAAAATGTAATATTATATAATAACGCAGCATGCTATTCTCATTTTCTATTTGGCAGCAGTACTGCCATAAGGAAACCATCTCGACTACTCTGGGCTAAAACCGATCCTTACAACAGAAAAACCTGAGCTGTTTGAGATAACGAAAGCGGCTTCTTACCTTCATCTTCATCATCATCTACGCCGTCTCCGTCCACCTCTCCGTCAGAGTCAGAGGCTTCCCTGTCCTCCATGTCATAACCATCCAGGTAGGTGAGCTGAGGCAGCAGCTTGAACACACTCTCTCTGTAGTCATTCAGGTTTGTCACTTCACAGTTGAACAGGTCCAAACTCTTCAGGTTATCCAGCTTTTTCTGTTGATTAAATAGAGTGAAGTAAATTGATGACATGTCTTGAATTAATGGTGCTGGATGCTTATGTGTGCATTCTGTGAATATGGTGGTGTGATAGGTGCTGTATGATTTGACAACCAGTAGACCATTTACACTGAGCTAGCTATGCCTTTTAATACCGCTGGTTGTATTAGGACATTGCAGGTAGTGCTGCCTATCAGTAACAATAAAGACTCTGTGGCAAAGTTAGATTTGCATTTTGCATCAATGAGTTGAACTACATTGATTTGTCACAGTACTTAATTGTCTGGATTAGACAAAAACAGACTTTTCATCTGGTTACTTTGTGTATGTTTCTCAATCGAACTTCGAGAAAATCTACTGAATCTACATCTTCATAATTTCTTCCATCAATAAATAGAAGAATCTCAAATGCAGATACAAACGCGTCTCATGTACATTTTGTTTATGTGATTTTCCAATAATAATCATTCTTTTTTTTTTTTTTTTTAAATACACCGACAATCAGAAAGGAAGCTCCAGTATAAAATGCAGTGTAACAACAACTAGTTTAAATATTTATATCCAGATTTATAGAAAGCAACCCTGAAATGTGGTTAATATTTGTATGCTGTGTAATAAGACAGATGATGACCTGGAATCACATTTACAATAATACAAGTGTGTGCCCCACAAGAATTTGTCTTCATGTTAAAAATGTTTTGTCTAACTACTTTGAAGTAGCATGAGATATAATAACAAAAACCACAATGTATGGATTCAGTGTGAGGAGTGATGCTTCTAATTGGCTTCAAACGAGGCCGGAAACACATACCAATGGTTCCAATGTGCTGATGTCTTTCAATTTGTTGCCACTCAGGTTTAGATGTGTGAGGTTGGGTAGTTTCTCTGCTAAAACATCAAGGCCGCCACTGATTCTATTGTCGCTTAACTCCAGCTGAAACAGAGCAGAGGGAAAGGTTACTCTAGCTGACACTCTTTTCTTTTTAATTCAACTTTTTCATGGAGGTATGAAGGTGGAGCATCATGTTTACCTTTTTGAGTTTCCCTAGTTTAGGCAGGTTGGACACTGAGATTAAGCCAACATTTATCAAACTGAGGAACTCCAGGTTGACAAACTCAGCTGTGAGGCCTTCGATTTTTCCTTCAACTGATCGACAATTGTCAAGGACAAGTTCTCGTACCTGAAATACATAAAAGTATAATATTACATTTAAAAAAAAGTAATCTCCAGTGATTTATGCATTTTGTTAAAGTACTATTACTTTTCATCCATAATTAAACTTTATTCTAAAACATGCCAAATTCCCAATAAGACGAAAATATTTATTACATACTGCCTCTCTCTCTTTAAACGAAAAAATGTAATTTATGTACACAATATCACTGAGAAAACAAACTTGCAAACAACATAATCAAAACGTTTTTAATAGGGGATGTTGTTAAGAAAAATTAATGTGTAAAGTAATAAAAGGCATTTTGTATTTTCTGTAAAATATTAGAAAAACAAGTCTGAAGGCGGAGTTTGTTACACAGTTAAAGCTAACACTGGTTGCGCAAGTCAGTGATGGACAAAAACGTTGCAAAAAAAGTTGTTGTCAAACGTCAAAGATCACGATTTCTCCAGTAAAACACCGAAATGGACACTGCGTCTCCAACAAAAAACACTTCGTATCAATGTGTGCTCGATTTATCAGGGCACGACAGTTAATGCATTGATTTCTTTGAAACGAGGAAGAGCAAAGCAGTCGCTTCCCATGGCCTGCTGATGCAGTCACTAATGACAAATGCAATGATTTTTGTGAGCTAGCTCGCTACAGGCTAGCCATTGCCCCTTTTAAACGCTGCCGTGCGGTAGAGGAGCAGCTAGAGAGCTCTGTCTGCCCGCCATTAGCCAACCCAACAGCAACGGAAAGGATTGCGAATACACCCTTAGTAAAGACTTTCTTTTTTTCGTTAAACCAGCTTTGACTTGGGAAGTGGAATATTCCTTGTCGTCGAGCGAACGACCGATATTGCCAGTTTGTTACAGAGTACTGCATCGTTTTCAGGTCGAAGTGGCGAAGGAAATATATTGAGAACGGAAATTTAGTAAAAACAAAGATGGAGACAGTTCCTTTCTCCCAGAGCTTCAAAGACGACAGAATGACAACATGGCGATCCCCGAGATACAGTATGCAGTTCTCTGAACGCTTCAACGGCGAAAAGTGCTGTTTAGGAAGAGTAATTATCGCTATTTGCACATTACATAAATTATTTTCGATGTTAAATTTGTTTTATTTGATGCATGGGTCGAGAGGAAACGCCGACCGTCGAGTTTTTGGCTGCCCACGCATCAAGCGCGGTGCACCGGATCCCCGTGTCATTCAAGCAGGCTGGCTCGGTTAACGAAGCCGCTGGCCAACAAAGCGACCCGTTTAGTTGCAAACAACGTCAACTTTAGCTTTAATGGCAGTTATTGGAGGACAGAATAGTTGTGTTTGATGTTTTAAGTGTACGACTGGATATATTTTGTTGTCTTTGACCAGTGTAGCGAAGGGGGTAATATGGCGGGAACAAAAATACTAAGTTAGGGGGCTGCTGTCTTAATGATTCTGACTCAACAGACTTCATTAAAAAAGTATGCAATATTTACATCAGTGTAAACGCAAGGATATGAAATGGTAACGTGGCTATTTGCACAAGTGTGTACTCTATTTTAGGGAATTAACTGCTGCACACCCCCTTTAAAACTTACGGATCGCAACAGCTTAAACGTGGCTTTAAACAAATCACGATTACAGGAATAGTTGGCTGCTTGCACTAGTTTGTGTGGAAATATCAACTGGCTATGGTTAGAGTAACAGTGGCTTAAGTGGTCAAGGTATGGATGACTCGTGAACCAAGTGACTGTTTTTTTGTTGTCGCTGCTGAATCTGGCCATTTGATATTAACGTTAACGTGCTGTACAGAAATTTCAAGACATGACTCGCGATCGGCGATGGCCCGTTTACATGTTACAAAAACTCAATTTTAGCACAAACGCCTTGAAGTTATAAAGTGCATTTGGAATAAAAAAAGAGCCATTTTAGCAGTTATGCTAGCAGCAAACATGGCTTCCAAGGTCTGTATAAAATATACCGCTCTGTGAATGCCAAACGCGGCGCAGGAAGCAAATTTCCTAATATATCAGCGTAAAAAGAAGTTTACTAAATGTGCTACAACGGTGGAGTCGAGCTGTATCGTGTGTACCACTGACCAAGGAGGCTGCGAAACGGTTAAAGCACTGCAATAATGCCAGCAAGCTGAGGAATCGCCGTTTCAAAGTAACGATTGAATATAGCTTTTCTCGTCTCCTTGCCCCTATACGCCCAATCCAGAACAGTGTAGAGGATTAAGATTGTTATGCGAGTGTTTTCCGCCCTATTATAAACGAGAAAGATAATCTAAAGCCCATGTGGTCACCATTACGTTAGCCACACAGGTCACTCGCAAAGCAAAAAAAGTAGCAAGCTAGCTAGCAAGAGGCTAGCCAGAAAACTAAGGGTTGGTTTTAAAAAGCACGACTCACATCAGACGGTGTCCTGTTTCTTAGCTCCAAGTGGATCCTCTTTTTCATGTCCATCTTGCCCTGTGAAACTGAAACTTTTCTCTCTTGGGTTTTGGTGGGATCTTCAGTCCAAAGGCAGAGATGCCCTAATGGAGGGAGAATATAGGACTGTATAATGAACTGAGCCAAACGCTAAGTTAGTCGGAGAGAGGAGACAACCATGGAGGGAAACGGGACTGAAACAAAATATATGCTCAACAGCGCCATCTGCGTCCAGAAACGCCCATCGCCTCTATAAAGCCATTGCAGTCACAAAACATGACGCTGCCCCGAAACAGTGCTATGGTGCAATTTATTTCTGCGAGGAAAGTACTGTACTGTGTTTAGTGAAGACAAGAGCCTTTTGTCTGTCAGCTCAGTTATATTAAATAAATGAGCGCAGAACACGTGCACATTTTACGCAAAATAGCATTCAACCCATCAGACGTCAAAAAGAAAAGTCGACCATACGGCCAACTTTTGTTTATCTGCCTGACTTATCAAGTTTAATAACTTGAAAACCCCCCCAGTTTGATATATATTTAACGTCATGTTGTTATTGTTGCATATTCGGTCTTTAAGTATGGCAAACACCTATCATGATAAAGAATTACTGTTTTGAATATTACTCAAACCTGTTGCCTTCCAAAACAAAATATCTTTTGTTCTATAATAGTCCAGGGAATGAAGACACTGTAATCTTTGTAAGATTTTTGTTCAATAAACTGCATAATGCATAAACTGTGTTTGTGCTCTGTTGATTCATAAACGCAAGATTCTTTACACTGTTTGGACACATTGGTAGAAAGGAGGGGGTATATTGGGTTTGCAGTAAAGAGAGCATTGTGTATGCATATGCTAGGGTTGGATACCCCTCCACTCCCAACCCCCTTGACTTCCTGAGACACCAGAGCCCTCAAGTAGGAGTCTACTGAGTATGCATTGTTGATTTTTCTAAGTAAACTATGAATCAGCATTTATCTTCTGGATGTTTGTCAAATTATGAGCTTGTTTAAGGTTAGTAATATAGTAAAAATGTTGCACAAATGAACATATAATCTATCTTATAATACTGTACGCCCACTATATTCACTGTCAAGGGCCCATTATCCAAATACCCCATCTTTGGCCCTGTGCATGTTACACATACTGTATACTGTATATAAACTATTTTTAAAATCAGTGTTTGGCAGCTGAGAGGGCACACCAGAAGATGGCACTGTAATATCTACTATGGCATTCCTCAGACTTGAGTTGCATTGTGCAACAGCAGGGGTGTGTTTGAGTGACAGCATTTTTATTATACTTTTACTAATAATCAGTCATTTGCAAAGATGTGCACACTTGGAATGAGTCCATTCTTGTGTTTGTTAGACTTATCAGCCGAAGAGTTAACCGTGTGCTGCCTATGATCTTTTGACCAGCTGGAAGTCAACACAGATACTGGTGATCGTCTGAGATGTTCAAGGTAGTTTGACATTGAGTGTGTGCAAAATTTTTAGTTCCCAGAGAAGGAGATTGTAATACTTTGTACCATATGGTCTTGCAAAATGAGTTGGACAACATAAGTGAAGGTGTATATTTTCCACTGCAACTTGTTTCCACCCAATAGTTCAACAATGAAATATATACTACATGAATGAGACATTTACTTACCTCCTCTTCTCTTACTATAATTTTAGATACAGTGAGTGATTGCTCGAAGCTCCTTCAATACACAAGCAAGTGAATTTAACAAGAGACCCTCCACGTTTCCCCTGCAATGCTGGAGGCAATTGGCAGTTGGGTGTTATTTACTCTGCTGGACAGTCTCTTTCACTGTGTGGCTCAAACACACACATCAGAGCTCAATGTGCTGTGAGAAGATTGAGAACACACCCCAACTGCGCAGCTCTCCATCTGTGAGATAACATGGGTATGCCCCTACTGTAGTCAAAGACAGGATTTCTTGCTTGGTCTCTGGCCATATAATGGCTTCTCAACGTAGTAGTTTACCTCAAATACTACAAAACGTATCACTTTACCAGGAGAAAAAAAAAACATTTGGCAAGTTTACCAATTGTTATTTCTGCATATAATTTATGCAGAGAGCAACATGTAGGGAATATTACCTCACATTCAGAATGTCATTTAACTCCTTACCTGTTTTGTACCCTCCAGCAGTATTAGGCAATTTAGACATTGTTGACAAAATTCTACGTATAATTTCCCATTTCTAAGAAAGCAACATTTGAATAATGACTTCTAGCTTGGACACTAACATGCATGCATAAATAGAAAAGTGTCTGTTATTATCCAGTCTTCTGCTAGTTTAATTAAGACAGAGCATTTCATATATTTTTGAGCAGCAGTCAAGAAAGCCTGTTCGTATTTCCTACATTACTACATACATACTGCATTTTATCCCTATCACGCACTGCCCACACACAACTTGCTCCTGTCTTTTTTTTTTTTTTTTTTTTTTCTGTCAGTGCTATGCCAACTCCTCCAGCTTTACAAATATGATAAGACCGAAGCTGCAAGAACTCTCCCAGCACTGTGGTAATGGTTAACCAGATAATTCACTTAGGGGTGGGAATACAAAACAGTCAGAAGTTATTTTGTCTTCTTTTCTGTGCTTGCGCGCCTTCAATGAGTTGAATTCATTCATAGTAGGACTCAGAATGGAGGAGGCTTTGCAACAAGAGAAACAAGAGTCGGAATATAAAAATCCCAATGAGGACCAAGGTAACATTTAAAATGTCTCCTCTTTTTCTGAAATGAAGTCCTTCAATATTTCCACACTGGAAAGTTGAGTGATGCAGTTATTCATTTACATACTGTCTGGTGTCTTTTGTTCAACTCAGACACAGAAATATTTTAGCCAACATCTGAGCCGCATTGCTACAAACGAGACCAATTTAGTCTATCTGTGTTATCGTATTTTAAAACTGAGTGACAAAATGTTTCTGTCAAAGACTTGCAAATGTTTAGCTGAAAGAAAAACTGTCTATAATCCATGTCTTTATATGTAATCAATCATCTTACATTAGCCAATCATGCATTTCAAATACTGCTCTATGTATCTTTGATTTCTCACTGGAATTGTTTTCATGGTTTCTTTGCACGGGTTTCTGTTTTAAAGGTGGGATCCGTCGCCGACTGCGAGACAGGGATCTTCTCAGGAAGAGAAAGGCCGAAGCAGAGGAGAAGGAAACTAACCAGTGGGTTTATGGGTAAATTTATAGAAAAGCAAAGTCAATGTTAGGGAAGTGACCCACATTTACAGCTATGCTCATTTGGAGTAACTGTGTTTGGTTTAGCAGTGAAAATGTTCTACAAATTTAAGAACTTACACTGGTGTAATGATGCTCTAAATAAATGTTCTTATGCAGCAGAGAACAGAAACAGAAGTTTTAGTGAAGGGTTATTAGCACAACTTGCGTTATTACACTGTATATTACAGAGCACTGTGAATTATCAGCACTCTAGCTGCTTATCACTCCTCTGGTTTACATTGAATATGGAGCAAGAGGAAACCAAAGGTTGCTCTGATATTTCTATTGACGCCTCAGAGCCAGGTCAAGGACTTTGTACTATTAGCTTTGCAAAAGTATCACAAAGAGCTGTATCAGTGTCCACTGTTGTTGAGCTTGATTACAATGGCTGTGCTCTTTTAGGATGGAGAGCCAGAGGAAAAGATCAAGGACCGATGAGAAGAGTGGCGCAAAGAAGAGAGGGAGGCCCAGGAAGACTGATCCCACGCCGGAGATATCTGTCATTCAGGAAGAGGCAGCAGTTGTTCAGGAAGCTCCTGCAGTAGTGGTGGTGCCTGAACCTGTGGGGATCATCTCAGGTCAAACATCAGGCTCTCTGACCCCCTTACTTGTTGTGGGCAGCGAAACACTGGAGTCACAACCAGCACCTGTCCTTGCTGCCCCTGCCTCTTTGCCCATGTTTGGATCTGCCCAAAGCTCTTTGTTTGGTCCTGTTCTGACTTCTCTAGATCCAGTCAACCAGACTCCAGCTCTGGTTTCACCCTCAGTTCCTGCTCCATCTCCCGCTGTTGTTGTAGATACGACTCCAATCCCCGTCCAAGGTTCAGCTCCAGCTCCAGATGCTATTCCGGTCCCAGCTCTGTCCCAAGCCCCCGTTCCAGCTGCAGCTCCGGCTCCTCCCCAGGTTGAGACCCTCTACAAGGAGTCACAAGGCAGGGAGGCCCTAGACCAGGTCCTGATTGAGGACTTGGGCCCAGATGAGGAGGAAGACATCAATCCATTGCAAGACCAAAGAGCTGATGAAGGTATGAATGACACAGAAGTGCAACACCAGAAGCAATCCTTTGAAACATTACCTGGTTTAAGAGTTTCTGACAATACATGCTTTGTTTAAATGAAATTTTTCTCTTTATATTAACTACATACTGTCTATCTGTCTTTTTTAGATTTGAGTGAGACACCATCGGTCAGCGTACCCGAACAAAACAAAATGTTCTCAATTCCAACTTTGTCCTCTCAGCCTCTGCCACAGGAATATCTCCCAGGAAATCAATTCTAATTTCTTCAAATATACTTTTCAGATAGTGCCTCAGTTAAGAACATGCAAAGCCAGACTACTTCCCATTCTGTCACAGTTTGTATCTGAGTATTATTTTGGTTAGTGTGCAGCCTGATGAGCGTTAAGTGTATGCATTGCTTATTTGAAAAAGTGTGTATGAATTCAAACCAAACTTGTATGCTTATTTATTCTTGGTTTGTGCTTCACTGCGAAGTTCATGAATTCTATTTTGTACTTTGCATTTAGTCAACAGCAAATTTAGCCTGTTTATATTTAAAAGTAAATGGTATGAATCACTGGTAATGATGTATTTGTAATTGTGGATTTATTTGATTGAATTTTGTAAAAGTTGTTTTTCACCGAATACAATACACTGCTTACATCATCTGACTGGTCGTTATTATCCATCCCATCCAGAGCCACACATCTCAGTGTATAAATGGTAAATGTGACGAATATATGATGAATGATCAATTGATTTTATCCTTTTATTCGCCATGTTACAAAATTTGTTAAGACCAAAGGTTCTCCTTGTGTTTTTTGTACAGGCAGTAATGAGCTGAAACTGTGATTTTTTTTTGTTCTTTTTCTGAGGATGTCCTGTTGTTAACATCCAGAATTTGTCTATGTTTTTACGCACACGGGGAAATTAGCAGGAATGATAAGGATGAATTCTACCTGATGGATTTAAACATATTTACAGCCAAATTTTACTCTGAATGTAAACACACCAACAATAAAACTTTATCTGCTTTGCTTAGTGAAATTAAAAAGTATATTTCTATTACTGATTACAGTGAGAACAGAATATCTACAAACACATACACTATTTCACCTGTCTCCTTGTCACTGGGTGCTTTTATGTAATTTGCGCCTTGTTTGGTAAGGCATGTGTAGCCAAACATCTGGCCCTATTGCAACTGCTATTTAAACTGTTATTCTGCTGGTGGTATGTAAGTTTATACTATATACAGGAGTGGAAGAAGTATTCAGATCCTAAACTTCAGAAAAAGCAACAACACCACAATGTAAAAATTCTCCATTACAAATAAAAGTAATGCATTCAAATTGTACTTAAGTAGTAGTAACCTGCAACTAGTATTATCAGCAAAATGTGCACATTATGCAGCAGAGTGTCCCGTTAGTGTCATGTTATTATATATTACAGGCCTATGTTTTATTGTTTGTCATTACTCATGCATTAGCACATAAGCAGCCTTTTAATGTTGTAGCTTGTGTAGCACTACTTTATATTCAGTTTCATCCATAACAATAATTTGTACATGATGATTTTATATATTGTTTAAACTTTGAATCTGTAAAGTTTATTGAAGTTGTCAGATCAATTCAAAACAATATTTCCCTCTAAAGTGAGGTAGAGTAAGTACTTGAGTAAATGCACTATGATACATTCCACCAGTGACTATTTATTATTGTACATTTATGTATTGGCTACTGGTTCTGTGTTCATAAATAAAGATTGCTAAAAAAAAATAGTAGCTGAAATGACTCTTGGCCGCCCCCTGCTGAAATAAAACACGCAGTGGTCTATAACCAGTGCAAATGTATCAATGACTTTTACAACATGCATGCGTGGTTTTTGTGTAATAGCACATGTATGTTGCAATAAACTCCTAAAGGCACAGGATAAGACGAACTGACTAAAAGCTTTAGCGATTTATATGTGTTGTCAGTCATTAGTCTGTCACGTGAAACACTCCTGGTTGGCCAACTATAAAACCCGAACGTGTGCTTCCGTATCGAGAAAGTCACACATGCGTCGTCAGCGTGCGGTGTGTATGCGTCTATTTTGGCAGGTAGTTGCTTCAAAGCTGCTTTAATAAGAAGTGTCTGCTCTTTTGTCACCTCTTCTATCAGTAAGATGAGTCCAGTGTGTGACTGCTGCGGCGAGAACACCAGTAAACTGAAGCAGCAGGCTTCTGTGATGAGAAAAGAAATCAAGAACCTGAGGTACAACGTCACACATCTTATTGCATTCAACCAGTCATAACATTTGTATTTGGCCTTGTTCCTTTAACATTATTATTACCTTATTATTAACTTTCTTCTGTCTTCTTCCAACAGGCAGATGTTGGACAGCGCAGTTCGAGCTCATCGCAAACACATGATATCCATTCAGTCTGCTGTGTCAAAGATTGGAGTCTGTGAAGCTGACAAAGCCCAAACACCACCACCACCACCACCACCACCACCAACATCACCACAGGTTGCATTAGAGAAAGGTAATCACAGCTGTATGCAAATGTTTGGGCAAATTACATGTTTTGCTGAGTTTTAAAGTAAAAAGAAGTAAATACAAACCCTGCAGTAAACAAATGAGCCTTTTCTTCAAATGTTAATGCACTTGCTTAGATAACTGGGGGGAAAACAGTGGCATATGCAAATGTTTGGGCACCCTACTAAGTCAGTTACTTAGTAATCCCACCATTGCCAACTGTTGAGGATGGAAATATTGTCCTTTGGGGGTGTGGCAGACAGTGACAGAGGAAACATTGCACAGATAGTGGATTCCACTGAACATTAGCAAATTCTGGATGCAAATGTTCCACAGCCAGTCAGGAAAGTGAATGTGAGAAGAGACTGGCTTCTACAACCACGACCATGACCCAAAGCAGACCTCAAAATCCATCATCGGCCATTACTGTCGCCTGACTTGAACATAATTGAAAATCTATGGGTAGATCAAGACAGACTAAAAGTATCTTAGAACTTAACAACAATAATTTAATAAATTTAAAGAGCACTTTTCTAAACCCATGTTACAAAGTACTTTGCACAAGGCAGCAAAATAAAACATGCAGGTCATATGAGGCAACAACTAAAACAGGCAATCAGAAATACAATTAAAGTGTCTTAGTATTGGTGCAAATAACCCAAAGGCTGTGTCACCAGCAAGAGGGCGATCAGTAAAAATAAATCAAGAACAGAGAGCCTTTTAGTTGGCTGCAAGAAGTGTTTGCAAAATTTAATCTCTGCAAAAGGGAGGCCACATGGCTCAGATACGGTTTCATGTATTTATATTTTTAAAGTTCATACAAAAAAAGAAAAAGTAAATTTGAAGAAAGGCTCTGTTTTAATGTCTTTTTGCTGCAGGGGTATTTGTGTGTGTTTTAACTAATACAACTGTATTATTAGTACAATTGTGAATTCACCCACAATTGTAATATCAATAAATTCTTTTTGTGAGAACTTTCGAAGAACAAACTCATATTATATATATTAAAATAAGTTAGAGCTGCAACTAATGATTTTCATCATTGATTTATTTTTTTATATTTTTGATTTGTTTATTAGTCACTGAAATGTTAAAAAAAAAAGTTTGCAGAGCTGAAGTTGAAGTTTTAAGACAGATTTCTTCTAACAAAGTACAAATGATGGTGCCACATAATAATGAAAGAGCCGAGTGACGTTTCTGTGTTACAAATTACAAGTGGTGAAAAAAAATCACACACCCATGCCTCCATGTTATTACTGTGTTCCAAATCAAACACATCATTGTTAACTGTGTAACCTTACAGGAAGCATCCAGACGGTCCCGATTGGTTACATCAGTTCCTGTTTCTCAGTGAAGAATGGGACACCCAGACAGCCCACCATTTGTGGCCCCTCGAGAGCCGAACTTCGCATCCAGCAGAGCGTCTTCAATAACCCGGAGCACGCTCTGGTGGGCCTGGAGCAATACTCCCACGTCTGGTATGTCGCATACAGTTGGTGTAGTTTATCTCTGTATACCTTTCACTGTCCAGTCCATAGTGTGGTGTTGTTAGCAAAAAGTGTTATTGTTGGCTGTATTAATGAAACATTGTTAAGCAATATTTTCCAGTCTGCTGTCTTTGTGCCGACTCAGCAATGACTCAAAAGGAACAATATTGGGATAATCTCCATATTAAGGCGCTGTGGGTTCAATAGGGCGAATGAGGGTTTTAGAGGTTTGCCCACAAGCTTGATTTTATTTCAGACTTCAGGAGTTACATATAGAGTTGTTGACATAAGTATATACAAAACCATTTATAAATTAGTAATGTACTTGCACTGTGGGTTGAATCTAGCCATTAAAATGTCTTTCTGTCTCATCATGAGTTCTCCTTGCTTGAATAAAGTGTTCTTGTTTCCTGTCTAATTTTGGCGTATGAAGCCCTTTGAGACCGATATTGTGTTAAAGACATTATAATTCAACTTGATTTGACACTTTTTAAAAGGAATGTTTACTCGCTGACAGCAGCAATGAGTGTGACTGGATAAGACTTGCATTATCAATCACTTGTGGGCTGAGGATTTATGATTTTTTTTTTTTTTTTTTTAAATCCCATTTCAACAGAACCACCTCTGCATATATTTAGACTTTTGTATCCTCTGTTTATTTCATGACATTTGTGCTTTCCCCTCTCTGTGTCTCACAGGATCATCTTTCTCTTTCACAAAAATGGGCACCTGAGTTACAAAGCCAAAGTGAAGCCTCCTCGACTGAACGGTCAGAGAGTTGGTGTTTACTCCACGCGCAGTCCACATAGACCAAACGCTTTGGGTCTAACTCTGGCTAAACTTGATAAAATTGTAGGTGAGTAACATCAACACAATGTGTCTTATATAGCGAATTGTGTGTTTGTGTCTTTGTGAACACTTGTGTTCAGAAACGGATAACAGACTCTGCTTGATAGTAACATATGCATTTCTACTCTTATTTTCAAGGTGACACAATACATCTGTCAGACATTGACATGATTGCAGGCACCCCAGTCCTGGACATCAAACCCTACATCCCAGAGTACGACTCCCCCCAGACCAGGATTCACATGGACTTAGAGCCCTATGAACTAAACACAAACCAGTCAAATGTAACTACTATGGAGGACCTATATAAAGACTCAGAAACAGATGCTCAGTCAGGCCTAAGAGGTGAAAGAACTAATGATGATGACTTGGTGAGTCAACTCTCAAAAGACAAATGTGAAGCTGATATTCCTTTAATAGATTCATCTAGAGTCAGTGCTCAGTTTTCCCTGCCCAAAGACCTGCATGGTGTGCTAGAGGAGGTCAAGGCCTATGTGACACAGGGTGACTTTTGTCAAAGAGAGGAGCAAGTTTCAGATTCCCCAATGGACAAACCTCCAGAGTCAACTGTGGACCGCCCCCGTTATGGAGAGGAATCCTACAGTACCATCGCTGGCTGGATCAGAGAGCCTCCTGTTTCCAGTCTGGAGGTACGCTTCACTCCTCATGCTGAGAGGGAGCTAGAAGAATTCCTCCCCACACACCTGTCAGGTAAGAAATCTTACAGTGTGTTTGGCAGGTCCTAAAGGGTGATGTATGTGTCCTTTTCTCCACAAGAGGGTGCCATTGTGACAGTGATAAATATGAAAGCAGTCATTCATCACTGAAAAACAAACAAACGCATATGCCACACAGGAGCCCCTGAAAGTGTCAGACCCAGGTTCAAGTTTCTGCGCAGTCCAGAGGAGGCCGCCGCTGCCATCAGAGGGGTGCTGTCAGCAGACCCACGGTCAGTCTACAGGAGGACACGCTGCAGGGACAGACTCTTCTTCTTCACCCTGGATACGGCTGACATCACCTGCTGGTTTGGACAGGGCTTTGCTGAGGTGCTGCAGGTCCGACCTGTTGAGTGCCAGACTGCCACCATGTAAGAAACCCTTTCAGTGAACCCATTAGAGCTGGATAGTGTCACTTTTCGTGTGCATAGAAAAACAAAAACAGAGCCTGTACAATGTTCCTCAGATTGACTTTTCCAGGTTATTTCTCCACTGACAAATGGGTATTTCAGTTGTAAGATCAATCATTTAGACTTTCCTAAAATCAGACAGATGAAAGATGGGGTACATCAAATTTTGTACAGTTTCACAGTATTGTTTAAACCAGATTCAGTAGTTGTGTTTAAACGTTTTTCTTGCGTATCATTTCTTTTTTCACATCTTTTTCTTTATTTGGAGGAAGTAACTGGTTCCGTGTCCTTAGTTAAAAATAAACTGATCGTGAATGAATGAGGAGGGTTTTCTTGTCTCTTGTCATTTATTAGTGGTATAACTACCCATTCCAAGAGTGACAGCAATTCAGTCTCCAGCTCTAGTTCACAGTGGTGTGTGTTTGAGTCACAGCAATCGATTGAGAGGTGGTGGTGAAAGGACAAAGGAAACATTCATAATTAAGCTGTTGTTAGATGTGTGGATTTACATCTACCAAACCAGTCTTAAATTTACTCTGAAAACAATGAAACCACATGGCTTCAATTAGGTTTTTATCTTCAGTTGAGGTGGCCTTACTGTACTGTTGTTTGACCAAATTAAACGTAGCACTGATCGGTCCCAAATTCATTCTGCAGCATGAGACAACAACCCCAAACATACAGCCAGAGTCATGAAGAACTATTGTCAGAGACAAGAAGGAGTTAACATCATGGAGTCAGCCTGGTATTACATGAAGAGACAGAGGACTGTGAGATGGCCTAAATCTCACAGACTTAGAATAACCTACCTGCCAAGTACCTTGAAAAAGTGTTTACATGTGTACCGAGGAGAACTGGTGCTGTTTAAAGGCAGAGTTTGTACACACAAAATATTTCATTATGTCTGTTTACTGCACATTGTGTGAATAAATGAATAAAAATAGATAAAAACTGTTCATGGTATTATTTTAGTGCCTAAAACTTTTGCACACTACTGTAGGTGGCACAGTGACTGAAGTGAGACTCATGAAGTACATGACAGCAGGAACGAATGAGAGTGTTATTTTTATATGCAGCCATAACATTAAAAGAAAAGAATTACGAAATGTATTATAAAGCACTGCCTGCAGGGGAGGTCACATGGGAGAAAGCTGTATATTTTATATTGAGTTGTGACATTAACGTCCTGTAGGGGGCGGAAATACGTTGTTGTACGCACTACGTCCACCCGGTGCGTCACACAACAACCGAAGAAGAGAAATTGACCAATAGCAGAACTGACATTTGTGTTTTGAATGAAACGCGGTTGATGGCCGTCGAGCCCAGATTTGTTTTTCTCGTTCACTTTTGTAACGTTGGTCAAAATTGGCCGTCAAAGTTCGGAAGGTAATGTGCTTTTACATAATTTAATGGTGTGGCTCAGGCAGATTATAGTTTAGTTAGATTAAAATGATCGTCATTTAAGTGTGTGCAAACTTAACTAGAGTTAACGATAGCTAACGACTTCGGTAACGCTGTCTTTCAGACAAGTTTGCCACCCTAACTTACGCCCTTGCTGACATTATGTTTAGCAACGCATTGTGTGATAATTTCGTGTTACTCTCGACATCCAAGTTAGGTTTTTTTTTTACTTATTAGCGCTTATGAATGCGCTAAAAATCTTGCTTCTGGGCGACTGCCTGCACTTGATACGTAAATTAAAGTCAGTAGCATCTTAGCTAGCTTGTTAATGTTGACATTTCTGTCTAGAAACTGGCTTAACGTTGGAGTCAAAACAGTTTGCCATCAGTCAGTTTAATCAACAGTTGAAAACATTTAATAGAAAATTATCTTTTATGCAGTTGTACAGATACAGAGTAATGTCGTCCAGGAAGTCAAGTTCCACTGGGGAAGGCTTGGTAAGACATTTGCACTCTGTCATCTACAGTGTACAGTCTTAAATTCTGAATAAGCAAGCTAATAATATCTCATTTCAACTTTTGATGATGTTAGCCTTCCAGCAAATATGGAGAGCGTACCCCTCTGCGAAGTTTGGAGAATGAAATGCTGCACCTGTCAACTCCCTCATCTAGGCTGAAATCAAGTGCTGGTGCCGTGAAAATGACAAAGGTGGGTTTATACCAGTACATCGAAATGGTGACATTGTTTTCATTCCCTTGGTGACTTTTTCTTATTTCTTTCCTTTCTAATGAACAGGGTGATACTCCTCTCTGTGACCCAGAGTCCCACGTGCACTGTCCTCCAACCATCAAAGTGATACAAACCAGTGCTCCCATGAATGATATGACAACTGCTGAGACCGCTTGTGGACTTGGAGATGTAACATTCAAATCCTTCATCTGTCCTGGTGGTGAGGTTGAGATTTCAGGCTCTTCAGCGTGTGAAGATAAGAGCATTATTTTGCCAAGTGATCAGGCTACATGTAACACTGAAACTGAAGATACAGTTATATCTGACAGTATGATAGATCAGTCATGCGTTGACCACATAGAACATCCCTATTACAGTCCCGAGATGATAGATGCTTCTTCGGTCGACATTGATGCAGCATGCCTCTGTGAAATTCCCAGCACTACACTTGCCTCTGGCAGCCTGGATGATAAAGCTGCCACAGAAGATTCAGGAGTGCTTCAGAGAGATTGCTGTGGAGAGAAAGATGTCACCTGGAAATCTGTTGTCTGTGATGGAGGTGAGGTAGAAGTTGCAGATGTCACCAGACAACATGATGAGACCATTCCTCTGCCCCAGGCACAGCTTGGTGAATCTTTACAAGACAACAGTGTAAATTCAACTAATTTCTCTGTCTACGGTCAAATGTGTCAAGCAGAACATGCTGAACATCCCTACTGTGGCAGTGCAAATGGTGTTCCTGTCAACGCCACCTTCTCTGAGATCCCAGATGGTTTTGAAAAACCTGCTAATGGACTGAGTGATGTAACCTTCAAATCATTTAACTGCACTGGGGGTGAGATAGAAATTTCAGATGGCACCAAACTTATAAATGAGACTGTTCCTCTACCAGCCGACTACACTGTGACCAGCAGTGAGTCATACAGTTGTAGCATAAATCAGAGTCTTTCAGCTGGTGACCATGATGCGCAAAACGGTAATGATCATTTAGATCACCCATACTGTAATAGTGAAAATTATTCATCAACTTCAAGTGGCAACCTTTCCACTTCCCAGGAACCAGTGCCATTCAGCGCTGATGCTATGGGTGAGATTAAACAGATTAGCTTGGTGGTACTTGATAGCCAGACTGGCACACAAGAGGCTGTTGCATTTGGCTCTTTAATCAGTGCTGGAGGTGAGGTTGAAGAATCAAATGGCACCCAATTGTCTGAGAAGACTTTCCATCTGCCTGATGACCAGGCTGTGATCTGCCAGCCCGTGGATGACACTGTACCAACTTCTGTTACACAGGATCAAATCCGAGATGACAAGGAACAACCTCCCTGCTGTGTGGAAAATTATGAAGTTGTTTTAGATACTCACCCACCAGCTTTCACCACATCTTTGCTGACTAACACATTGTTAAAAGCTTCGGATAATGAATCCATTAACTGTCAAGTGCAAGAAATATCAAAGCACTCAATACACCCTGAGGACAGTGCGTTGCCTTCAATGCTTAACAAAGCAGAGTCTTCTTACCGCAGCAAACTTGTGGCTTCAGCAGAGAGTCCCACCCCTGTGGAAGTGCAAGAGCTTCTGGAACATGTCTCTCAAATACGGTCAAACAGTGGACTGCCTGAATCCAGTGAGGCAAAAGACAGTGCCCTCGGCTCATCAGGAAATGGACCTGTTTTTTGTAACTCTGCAGAGAACCTCTCTAATGTTTTGAAAGTGCTGTCACAGTGTCCCTCGGTAGCATCAGCTTTGCAGTTTGGAATCCTCAGTCCTGTTGCCCGGAGAGCTTCTCTCTCTGTATTAAAGGCTCATAATGATCCCGCGTTTGACCATTTTGTAGCTGACGACTTTGCTCTCGAGGGTGAAAAGAGCTTGGTGGCTCCTGTTGATGCTGACCCCGCTGGGTTATGGGCAGAGCACTTGGAGAGCCCCATGCCACGTCCTCTGTTCAACTCTACAGCACTGGGTTACAAGCTCCAGTCAGGCCCAGTCACTGAGCTGGATGAGGGTGTGGGTGTGAAGCCCCGTGCAGTGCCCCAGTCTGAGATGGAGAAGCCAGTTCTGGATTTCCCGTTGATTCCAGATGGTCCCCTTCAGCAGCAGCTCCGGCAGATGGCAGAGTTCCTCATCTTGGCATCTGGAAAGATGGGTCCTGCTGCTGTCTCTGCTTCTGCTCCACCTCCTGCTGTCGTCACAGTCCAGTCAGCAAGAGCTAGTCCTGCAGAAACCCACAGTGTTTGTGTGGGCACTGCTGCTGTGAAACTGGTAGACCGCAGCCTCAATACATCTGGCCAGTTTGAGAGAAAAAGGGATTTCTCTGTTGTTGATTCCTGCACTCTTACTGACCCCCTCCTGTGGAAGTAAGTGTTAGCGATGAATTTATTGTTAAACAAACTAATGTTGCCAATCATTATGGCATTGCCAATTCTGCTATCTTGTGTTTCTCTGTCTGCCTCTTCACTCTTTCTTTCTATTCATGTGACTTCAGTGTACCTCCAGGTAGCCTAGAGTGCCTCCCCAGACAAGAGCTGGAGCAGAGGTTACGGTCTAGCATGATCATGGTGGAGGCCCTGGTGCAGCAATTGGCTGCAGCCAGAGCACATGGATGTCCTTCTGCAGGCCCTGCACCTTCAGAGCTCAGGGAGAAATTAGTGCAGACAGACCACACTGAACTCAGTCAGGTAAGGACACATTCAGACAAGACGCTGACAGTGGGAGAGATTTAGAGTTGGTACTTTTGTATATTGAATTCTGTATCTGTATTTCAAATAGACAACAATGCACCGGGACCTTTATATGGAGGCTCTGAGCAGGATTAATGAGTTGGAGCTGGACAGAAATTCTCTACAGAACCTCATACAGAGTATGCAGGATATGAGGGTCACCATGGTGAGACACAAACATTAATAGAACACATGCCCTAAGTTGTATAAATTTTACAGGTACAATGCTCTTTCATGTCACTGTCTTCTTACACCTGTATATAAATTGTACAAAATTATGTTTTTTATGACTTACTTTATTTATATGTGAAAACACACCTGATTTTGTTTAATAACAGTGTAGTGTGTGTGTATTTGTCCCAACAGACTTCTCTAAGTAGTGACACGGATGCTGCTCTCTCCAACATGAAAGAAATAGAAGACATTGTCAGAGAGGACCATCAAAGTCTTGTTTCACATGTATGTAAATGTGTCTCGCATGTCATTCTTACATGATATCAACCATATAAGTATTTCCAGCGATTACATTATTGCATATGTTAACTCTGTACACTTCGATAATGGTTCATGTTTATGTGCTTGAATTTAGCTGATTTATTCCCTCTGTACTGTTTAGTATGGTCAGATGAAATCTCTGTTTGAGAAAACAAAGGAGACACAAACGCAAATGATGCAGAAAGTCAAAGATGCTCTTCACCAAAGAGATGACATGAGGACACAGATGGAGGAGGCTTTCACAGCTAAGCAGGCGGTAAACAGTGACTAATCTTTTAATTGTCATGTGGCCTTGGTAGATCTATTGTTTGTTTGTTTGTTTCTTTATGTCCGTTTTCAAGTGTCTCTGCTGCAGGGTGCAACACAACATCATTTTGTGGTTATTTCCAAACAGCAGGGCTGCACTTTTTCATGCTTTTGTTGGGTGGAAAGATAAGATGAAAGAAACATCACAGTCCTCTTAATAATTCATGTTTTGTGTAGCTTGTGGAGCGGTAGTTTTCCTGCCCTGGTTGACCTAAATACAAGCATTATGGAGAATATTCAAACTGCCCTCCAAAGTTAATTTTTCTGGCATTCTTCT